GCTATGAAAGAATGTCGACTCTGTTTCGCTTCATTGAAACACAAGACTGTGTTGAGGCAGATGATTGTGATGCCCCTTTGCACAAGCTTGAAAGATACATCAAGACTCAAATCTTTCATTCTTTCTCAAAACAAACTGACCTCACCGATTTTTTCCAAATACATCACAACAACAAATGATTTCCTGTAGTGAACCTTATGCGATATTTTTGTTTTTCTTTTTATGCAAACCTTTTCCATGTGGTTGAAATGGATTCTATATGACACAATGTCTCTCTCTCTGCTGCGATTTCTTTGATAAAGAAGTGCACATCATATCCCTCTATCTGCAAATTTCCATGCAGTTAGAGGGCATATTCCTCTAACTGCAACATTTCATGCAGTTAGAGGGTATGCATACTATCATGCACTTAGAGAGAAGAGCTCCGTAAGTGAATATTCCTCTAAGTGCATAACATTTCCACCCGCACATGTGTATGCACTTAGAGAGAGTTGACTGTACTAGTCCTATTTGAACAGTACAGTTGCCCTCCCTGGATACGCAGCAGCTTCAGTCACGGTGGTGGAAAGATGATGTAGAGTAGGAGTAGAAGTTACGTACAAAATCATGTAATAAACACTATGCAGAGATTCTTGGGCGTTTGTTGTTTCTGGCAAAGGATCAATGCAAAGGCCGTCATTGTCTAATTGCTTTGGTCAAGATTGGAAAAGCATGGTCTCAATGTCTGAGGTCTGCCACCATTTGATCCACTTCTTGGCTTTTGGGTATTCATGGGGAAGCTTCGCCATTTTTTCTGTGAACGTCAAGTCGCCAGGTTTGTCTTTCTCCAAAAGTGCCATAGCCGCCTTCTGAAATAAACCCTACAAAATTATTTCATCAAAAGAAATAAGAGACACAATCAAAATCCACGAAGAATGGGAAGACAAAATTCAAGCAAGGAAAACCCATACCTCTTTCTCCCTGGGAATAATAGCATGGTTCCTCTTCATGCGGGTGACCTGTGCTCAAAAGTGCTCTTTGCACCCTTGTAGTTTGGACAGTGCCATGTTGCGATTGGTCTCTTCAAACACCTCCATGTAAGCAATGATAAAGCCATTTTTCTGTGCCAAAGAAAAATCGACCACCTGTCAAACAAGCGTATCACGTTTGGCGTTGGTAAGTCGAGGATCGCTTTGTACTTGTTTCATGAGGGTGACAAAGTGTGCGGCGTAGTGCTTCTTGCTGATACCTCTCAACCAAGTTAGCTGAACTGGCATCCATCGCTTCAGGACACCGTGGTACATTGAGGTTGAAAGTAAGTAGCCATTCACAAAGAATTTATAGGTGACGTCTGAAAGTAGACCACCTCCGTAAAATCGGTCGTCATTGTCACGGGAAAGCAGCTGTTCTGCCATCCATTCAGTTTGAAATGTCATGTGCGTGTTTTCTGGCAGGAAAGAACAAGAGATCATGCGCAAACCACGACTAATAAGGGTGAGATTTGAGAAAATCAATAGAATCATCAGCAAATATTTTGTAAAAATAATCTACTTGACAAAAACTTACTCTGCCCAATGGCCCATGTCTAAGATGAAGCTATCTGCTGTGCCAGGTATCCTCTTTTCAGGAATGACACCCGCATCTACGAGGAGCTTTCGGCGGTAGTATGCCGAGCGGTGAAGGTTTCCGAATGCTGGGTGGATGTTGGTAACTGTGGTGATCTCTTTTTTCCCAGCTGGAGCGCGCCCGACCTTCCAATCAGGAAAGCAACAGCACATAGAATCAGCATTAACACCACACAAAAATATGATGATGAAGACATACCTTCAGTCGTAATGGCCCCACATCTGGGTTTTTGACCACTTTTTTGCTAAGTTTGTCAAGAGACAGCTTGTCTGGCTTTCCACGACAAGGCCATGGGTGGTCGTGGATCCCACAGTGTCGAATGATTCCCCAGCCAGTTGGTAGATGCTTGTCCATACGGCATATTGTGTTGTTGCGGCGGATATACATGAGGTAGTCAGTGCATCGGGCTGCTGGGCACTTCTGGGGTCTGATAGCAGATTGGAAAAGTCAGAAAGGTCCGATTCAGCGATTTGAAAGAGCATGAATTACTTGCTCTCCCAATCCAATCTCTTGTTGGAGGAAGTGGGGGGCGAGCCAGGGTATTCACATTCCAGGTTCTTGCAGAGTAGGACACCTAAGCAGGTGTATCAAACTATTTGCCAGTCGGAGCCTTTGCTTGTGCCACCACCAGAGGTAACGTAGGTAAAACCAAAAGTTCCCCAGTTGATGAGGGTTTCGCCGGGTTGCCTGACATAGACCGTGTTACCATTTGGCAGTAACGGATACCCTTGGTCGTCAAGGGTGGTGTCCTCGTCAATGTAGGTAGTGAAAGATGGCCGGTTGAGTGGCAGACCAAAGGTCTTCTTGCCCTTCTTTGGTGCATGTTTCCTTGCTGTTCCTTCCTGTTCCTCATAACGTTGGGTTGGTGCCGGTGGTTGGTGCTCAGAATTGGTTGTGCCGACTTCAAAGTCACATGAGTCACTCATTTTGAGGTAAAACAAATGAGCACGAGAATGGTATAAGAGAAGAGATGATAAATTCAAGAAGAAAAGTTCGATTAAAGTGGTAATTGGGGATGCTTGGAGATTGTGAGCTTGAAGGTATCTGGTTTGTTTCTTGCAAGAGAATAAACAGATATGATGTTTTCTTGCCGACTGACCAAGATAAGATAAGATCAATTGGTAAGAAGAGGGATCACTCTTGGCTGATACTACTCGTGTGATAATGTCGTTTCGTTCTTTCTGATAAGAAAGAATGTAATGGCCGTTGTGCGACATCTTTTCAACATTTGGTGTGGGTTTCTGGTTTACCTCTTTTCTTTCTTTTTGTTTCACCTCTGTTCTCTTGATGGCTTTCTTTTTGGCCATTTAATTGTACGTAACATCATCATCAATCATATTGATTGGAATCGATTGTTTTTGATGTCAATACTTGACATGATTTTGGGTTAACGTCAATCATCTTGATTGGAAATGAAGTGTTGCAAAGTTATAGAAATGAGGTTTTGGTTGGTGAATTCCCCGATGGTTCAGTTGCGAGTGATTGTGATCTCTGCAAGGGTGGCACTGCAAAAATGGACAATGGAGGTGAATGTTATAAATTTTGGGTGGATATGATTTCCGAACGACATTGGTGGAAAGTTTTGTATGTAAAATTCGTGTATGTAGGTACATGTATGTAATTTTCAGGTGTATGTTTTACAACGGTTTTTTTCCCAGACATTAAAAAAAAAAGTGCCGTAAAATTAAAGATTGTCTGGGGAAAATGTATTTTTACAGCCATCCAGTTTTGCGGTGCTTATGGTCCGCAAAACAATGTTTGGAAAAATCTCGCGCACCCTTATCTAAATTGGTATTCGGAAAATGAGCTGAAGAAAAAAAGTAAAGTGGTTGTGATTCAATAGGTTTCTTGATACATGTTCTACATCTTTGTTGTACATGCTTTTCCTTTTGAATTCTTTTTTAATTTCACTTGATAACTTTTTTCATTTCAATTAATAATGATTTTATATAAACAAAACAAATGTGCCAATTCCCTGTTTTTCTCAGCATTTTGCTGCCTTGACAGCGGCCTGCGGCCCGCTGCGCGATTTGGGCCGCTGCAACGGCGGCCGACGGTGCGCGGCGAATATTTTGGCCGTGCCGTCTTCGCAATCATGTTTGTACTCACTGCGACTGCACTGCGATGGCTGTGTCCTGGCGCGGCGATGATTCGTTGCGCTGTCGCTGTGGAGGTGGTCCTGCAGCGCGCTTCGCGGCGTTTGCGTGTTGTCAGACCTCACTCAAATCACAGAAATACATTCAAAATGGTGCAAATATCAAGAAACAAACAAGACGGTTAGGACATGCAGTGTCAAGACGCACTCAAAGTAAAGTATTTTCAATCTCAGTGGCAAATATGGTAGGGCGGCTGATTAGACTGAGGACTTGAGGGACATAAACACAGATCTTGATACAATGATATAGTGGCGGAAATGAAAATGATGATGATGAATGATGATGATGAATCAAGAGGAGTGTAGGCCAACAGTGTGGCAAAGTTGGAAAATGTCTTTGAAACATGAGTCATATATGGCAAAGCATATATCAAGAGTATTGAGTATTAGGCAAGAGGAACATGTGTTAAATTCATACAAATGAGTGGAGTGAACTTCAGATAAAGTTTGACACAGATATGGCACTGTGATTTGTTTGAGTAAGTAAGTAAGAGTGCGGTCTTCTAAGTTCTAAGTGGCCAAATAAGAACTGTCTCAAGTCCTTCCCACCACACGTTCTAAATATCTGAGTAGCAATAAGAAACTCAATGAGCTTATGATGAAGTGGTTCTCAATCAAAAAAGCATACCAATTTATCATCCTCCATCACATTGTTCAGTCATTAATCAACTTTCATGGTGTTCAGACTTTTGTACAGACAGACCAGTAAGGCTTATCCTTTAACCAAATTTCCAGGCAAGAACTTGTGATGGGATTGTCCAGAAAATGTCAGTAGACTGTCTTCACAATTGAGTACTTGAGGGACATAAACACAGATGTTGATACAATGATACAGTGACGGAAATGGAAATAATGATGATGAATCAAGAGGAGCCTTGACCAAAAGTGTGGTAAAGTTGGACAATGACTTTGAAACATGAGTCATAGATGGCAAAGCATATATCAATAGTATTGTCATGAGTATTATGCAACAGAAACATGTGTTAAGTTCATACAATTGAGTGGACCAAACTTCAGATAAAGTTTGACACAGATATGTCACTGTGATTTGTTTGAGTAATCAAGTTTGAGTGTGGTATTCTACGTTCTAAGTGGCCAAATGAAAACTGTCTCAAGTCCTTGCCACCACACATCCTGAATTTCTTAGTAGCCATAAGCAATTAAATGATCTTATGATGACCTGGTTATCAATCAAAAAAGCATACCAGTTTATCATCCTCCATCAAATTGTTCAGTCTTTAATCAATTTTCATGGTGTTCAGACTTTTGTACATACAGAACAGGAAGGCTTATCCTTTAACCAAATTCCCAGACAAGAAAGCGTGATAGGATTGTCCAGAAAATGTCAATAGACTGTCTTCACTCTTACATGAGCTTTTTTTATGAACTGACCCATTCCTCTAATACAGTCAAACCCGGTCATGGAAGCTCTACTTCTGATTGCAAGCATCACATTACATTTGAAATTGGACCATTAACATCAGACGAGGTAAAAAAATTCTGGAAGAAGAGTAAGTACCAATTATGAACAAATCTGATTTCCTTGCAACTAAATATTTGTTAAAGGTATCCAACATACTGAACTCTAACCAAACTTGGCAGGTCATGTAACAGAATCATCCAAGAAGAAACATAGGGGATTGATTGAATCTATCAGCAGGCTGATGAAGCAAGACAGAGCAACTTGGAAAGACAGACTTGCAGCTTTATTTGACATGATGCAAATACATCTTCCAATGGGAGATGATGAAGAGAATATAATAATTTTGCAAACACTAAATCAACTCATTAGGAGCTATGACCTACCATTTGATGTTGTTCAAGTGACATGGGCTCAATTGATCAAAATGGATACCATACAGTATTGTATTCGACGTCGTATCAAGAATCAACTATGGCATGATGAGTTGAATATTGCACTAAAATTGTACAAAGATAAGATGGTTCATACTATATAGGTTCTCTGGTATCATGGAACAGTTAGTCAAGTAATTTCTGTTCTTGATAGTCACTTGCATCAGTCTTCACACTCACCTTTTGAATTGTTTTCAATCACAAGAGACCTAAGTGATTTTGAATCCATGCAAGCATCAATTGGTGAATATGGTATGAGATTAGCTGGAGATTGGCCTCCATCAGTTCAGAAAAATCTATATGCACTTTGGACTTTAGGTATGTCAGCATATCAATTGCCACTAGGAAAGAAATCATACTGAGTTCACCATCAAGATGCGGTGGTTTATGTAAGCCTTAGACACAAAAAGCAGTTACAAAAAGTTGTGGAGACTCAAGTTGTCCAAAGACAATATATTGAATCAGTTCATAACTTGCCTAGCAATAGCATTATTGAAAAAGTCTACAGAGATTGGATACACAACAAATTGAGATCTCATTCAGCTACAATTTTGGAATATATTGACTCCTTGCAGGATGAGAGGTATGTTAATCCTGAAGTCCTTGTGAAAGAAGAGTACCTTTGTTAACCCAGACTCATATTGAAGCACTAGAATTGAATTCCGATCAGTGGAATGGGATGTGAAGCCCTATGGCATGAACTTGAGTCCTTTGTTGGATCCAACCAAGGCAATCAAGGTTATTCAATTTTGGGCAAGACGTGAGTGATTTGTGATCAAATCCAAACCATGAATCTAGACTAACAATGATGTATCTTGGGTTGTTGAAGATGTTCACGTGTTCTTGAACATGAAGAGATTGGGGGAGACTGTTGAATTACAAAAAACTGTGGAAAAATTAGTCATGAGAAGTTTTGAGGAGACAAGTAGAATCATGGCAGTGTTCCTTGAAGAAAAAGATGGAACTACTTTCACCTATGAAAGACCTGTTCTCTATGAGTTTTTGAAATATTTTAATGCTCAAAATCATCTAATGAATGAAGGAATCCAAAAGGTCCTTGTGGAATATGAAAACAAAGTCAAGTGTGAAAAATTTGAAAGACTCAACCGCAAGCTGCCAAAGTCTATGTTCTGTCAGATAATGTAGTCACAACATTCACAGCCTATCTTGTTGCTACTTTTTGACTGATCAGACTTGATCTCAATGGTTTATACATGTTGTGTTCTACTCTTCAATATGTAGCAAAAGATCCTGAAGGCCCCCCTATTGGCTTGGCTTTACTTTTGGGATCAAGGATTTATATGAAATATGTATTCAACTGAATACAAGTGCTTTGGCAACTAGTTTAACAAAAACCCCAGTGTACCGTGGAGCAGTTCAATGTGCTTGAGATCAAAGTGCAGAAATAAACAGTCTTTTACTGTGATATGTATCCTACATGTTTTAGTTCTTTGCTTTTGTTATTAAATAAAGGGTTGTAAGTTGTGTAAGACATCACAACACATAAATCCTCAGGATTTTCCGGACAAGAGCTTTGGAGTTTTTTGTTCTTCACCGCATGTAAGCCAATTCTTTCCACCCCCATTTGATGAAATAGTGCAAAGCGTTGATGGTGACTGTGAGTTGTGACTGATTGTCACTTAAGCTAGCATTGGGGGACTTGAGATGTCACAATCTGTGGTTTGAGGTGTACTCGGGTGTCCAAATGCTCCAAGTCATATATAATTAAAACTATGAACAAGATGCACTTCACACTAATCAACTCAACCATGGATCTATTTAACAGGAGGTTGTGATAGATCTTGGCCTTGATGCTTGATTGGCCTATATTACTCATGGCTATGAGCCTTTGGGGTTTTACCAGCACCATATGTCACCCTGTTCCAGCCACAGCAGGCTATGCGGAACCATTGGCATGGTCACATCACACTTGGCATCTGTGTCAACACTCCATCAGCAGGAAATTTGATCAATTGGAAGGAGAATATACTTCTGATGGATGCTCAAATGTGCCTGCAATGTCAATTCCAATCCCTAGCAACATTCCCGTTACGCCTACTGGTCACATCACACCAATGGACAATCCTTACACCAATGCATATGACACAACTTTCAGTGAACAATTTGGATTCCTTTGCACACCAATTACAACATTCCTACTTTGGAATCATCAACTCTCCCAGATTGGCAGGCCTCTTGGTCACAACTTAAACCATATACAACTCTTAGTTTTGACTCTGTGGCAAAGTATCTCTAGAAATCCAAACCCAAGGCAACTATCCATGTGAGTCCTGTGGATGTGAAAAAACATCAGTCAGAAATCAGAGCTATAGAAAAGTATCACAGAAGAGGTAGGCATCTTGAAATATCAAAAAAGTTGGAGATAGCTTCCTCAGGAAAGACACATATAATAAAGACTTTTGAGCAGACATATTTGAAACACTACCCCCCTGCACAATCATTGTGATATGGACCATCAAGGCTGTCTGAGCCAAGTCACCCAGGAACAAATGCAATTTCCCAACCGCAAGTGGGCTTATAATACACCACACGTCATGGTCAGGAACTGGTATCAAATTCAATTCAAGAGCCATTGTTGCCTCACAATTTGATTTATACATACTGGCCTAGAGTTTTAGGATTTCCAAAGTTGATAGGCAAACATTAAACTGTTGAGAGTCACAAGAGATATCTTTTTGAAAACAAGAAGAGGGTTTGGCATAATTACCTAGACATGGTCAGCATATGTCCTGGAGTGTTTTTGTCCAATGATGTCCATGAAAACATGGCAGAAGATCTGGACAATGCGTTCAACTGGCTTGCACAAAGACTTGCAAGAATTCCCACAACTTGCTTTGAATGGGCGCCAGTTCTGGAAATAAAGCATTCACCCAAAATATCACATGAGAGAAATTTCTATGATTAAAAATTTACAGTTTTTCCGTACATGATGGCACAATATTTTTGCTGACTTGTGGATTGTACAATCAAAGACGTAAACACCTGGGGGCCTTATATAAATTGAACTTCTTACATAACAAACAATAGGAATGGCCTAAAAACTTGAATCTTTTGAATCTTTCAAGTGACAAAGAATTGTTACTCAAAAAATTGTTAAGTTCACTAAAAAGGGTGAGACTATTGAGATATTCCAGGGCCATAAGAACCAGGTACAATGGCCGGGAGAGGGAAGTTTGGAGCAAGCCATCCCAGAAAGCAAGATACAAACCCTATACTGCACAGTACTAAATCCGTATATGGGCCACTGGTGACCCAAGACCACCCATCTCTCCACACATGTAGCTCTCTCTATGAGCAGCCTCTTCAACAATTGACTGGACTGGACTGGACTCAACCAACTTCCTTGGAGTCTATGAGTCTTGGAAAATTTGATTGCAATCCCTGCCAATTCCTGAACTGCACTCAGCCCAATGCCAGTAACAGATGGAGTTAATCTTGGACTCTTTTTGAGATGGATTGTTTCCAATGTTATTTTTGTATCCTGATCTTGGTCTTTTTTAAAGTTGTCAAGTATCCCAAAGTGCTGATTGCATATCTTTCAATTTGTGTCACTGATTGTCAACTCTTGATTTTCTATCCTCAAATTTCCATAAATATTTGGCTCACCTCTCCAATATCAAATGCAGTTGCACTGGGAGACTATCACTTCAACAATCAATCTATTTACTGTCTGAAAATTATGTGATGGTAGTTTGTATAAGTTATGTATCCTTTCTGCAAGCTCTAGTCAATGGTCTAAGGGTGTTGATTTGCTATGGTCAATATCCTATTTCATTTCAATTTCTAAAACAAATTTGATTTTGAGTTTTGAACACTGTATGATGAATAGGATGGCAAAGGGTCTTAGCCCAGCTGACAATACTGCCAAGAGAATGACAAGAGGATAAAGAATAGCCAAGACCAGATAGAAGAGAAAAATGGACTTATAGTCACTGTCTATTGGTTAAAGATCCAAAACATTGATCTCATGGACCAGGCAAGTGATGATCGGATCTGGATTATACCTATCCTCTATGAACACTGTCTTCCTTGTTCCAGTTTCCAGTGAAGACACTGCCAGATTATGATACATTGAGAAAAACTGCTTGATGGAAGTCACTCAATCTACCAAATAAATCCAAATTCACAGCATGTATCTTCATTTGGCTATTGTACCTACGCAACATGTAACAACACAGCATAACAACTTGATTTGTAGCTAATCATAACATCTAGCGGCCTTGTATAGCTCCTACCAAGGTTGTCACCTGAACCAGATAAATAGTCACAAGTGATTGGGCTCCTTACCACAACTCAAACAGACTCAGACTGGCCGAAATTTACTGGAGGAACAGATGGTCACAAATCAAGAATGATTTTTATCTACAGCCTGGGGTTGCTTGAGCCAGAAGCAGAATATACTAATCTATATTCAACCCAGTCATTTGAATTGGTTCCAGATCCATTGCTTTGAGTGGATAATCAAAGTGGCAGACCTTGTTCGGGATTCAAATATCAGATTGTTGAATGAGGATACAATAGATATTGCATAATCTGCTAAAGTACAATCCACAACTGTGACATGTATACACAAGCCTTTAACACACTCTACAGTCATTGTACCATACCATTGAACCCCCTTTAACACCCAACTTCCTCTTGCAAGTCTGCATTGTTTTCACAGATAGCATTGAAGAACCCCTTGGGTAAAACTCTTTACCCTCTCACTACATCCGCTTCCTTCTCTTGTACTTCTTTGTCAAATTAGGAAATTTGTGATACTCTGATTTCCTTATTTCCTCTTGTTCTCTTGTATTGTCTGCCTTGCACATTTCAAGTGCACTGTCAGTTTATTTTACTTGTGTGCCTTCAAAATGTACCTGTTCTCTTTTTCTTTTGACAAATCCTTACCAGATTTGTCCCATGATGTTGTTTACTGGATCCTGAATTGCATATCTGACCATTACTTTCTCACTTTGATGTCTTCAACGTTGTTACATTGTACCTTCATTCCTATTACCATATCTGCTCCCTTGCAGAGATGGATGTCTATGTAAGACACCCATACCTATCCCTTGCTTGAGTAATAGATAACCAAGTAGCTTCTCAATATATTCACCACAACAAATCCCTATTGACAATAACACTTGAAATGGTCAACAGCAATTGAAGTTATAGATGTTTACACTTATTTGGTTTCTCTAATCTTATATTCAAAATCCTCTCATATTACATTCTTGTCTCATATGATTGTTTTCTCTTCTCATATGTTATGCCATCATCTGCTGTGACTTGCTGTGACTGTGTATGTGATGTGTTTGCTATATAAAGAGATCCTCTTTTACTCATTGTAATTTCTCTTTTTCCTCACCAATTTCTACTCATCACTTTGAGCAGGTTTGTTCTGGCTCGTTATTGGTCACAGAAATAATAATCTCTACTAGTAACATGCTAGTGTTCCTCTCAGGTTTGTTCTTGCTCATTATCAGTCACAGAGATAATAATCTCTACTAATAACTTGCTAGTGTTCCTCTCCGACTTTTACCCATCTCACAATTACCACGGGGGCTTCTGACCAAAAGATCCTAATTTTACTAAAATTCAATATCCGACCAGAAAAAAGTTGCAAAAAGTCCTAATCTTCATCAGACACCTCACTAAGGGCTTTCCAGTGTCTTGATGAGACTGTCTCTGCTCTCTCTAAAGATTGAGCTTGAGTAAAAGTGCAGTCATGAAGATTATGAGGCAGCCTCTTTTGGCCAATGTTCTTGATAATTGAGGCTGGACTCATTCCAAATTGAAATATTCATAGACACATCTCATTGCAAGACTTGCTTTGTTCAAGTCAATGCTTTGACTACCCGAACTGATCATCAACATCAAAATAAAACATTCACATATAATCAATCAAGTTCACAACAAAATCTAGATTATCACACTCAAGTAGAATGAAAATCCATGAACTGCATTGGGAGATTGACCTTGAATTTCTGACAATAATGGAGCGGGAACTCTACCAATTCCTAAACCAATGAAAAGCAACAAAAGAGATTGGGAAATTTAAAATGCTAAATTTATTTTTGGTTGAGTTTTAACAAAAAAAATCAATCATTGCTTGAGAAAAAGAAAGCAAAGATCTCGTCTGAGATTTGAGTTGACAGGAGAGAACTACATAATGAGAAACTGGATGTTGACTACAAGATTTATTCCGATTTGTGGAGATTACTAGAGAATCAAAATGATCAACGCGTTTCTCTAGATAATTCCACGCAGGCGGGGCAAATTGATTGTATTTGTTGGCCGTGAGTGTGGCGGTACGGATAGTCTTTTAAGTTCTTACAAGTGTGACACTCGTATCTCGTTGTGATACCCTTCTGTGGGCATTCAATTGCGTTCTGACATTGAGTGCAGGTGAATGGCATGCATTTGAAGCGTCCGACCAGCTTCTCCATAATGCACTCACAGGCTCTTGGTTCGTTGGCAAAGGCTGTGCCTGCCGCAAAAAGTGCCCACAGGTAGAGACATGCGCGGACATGATTCATTGTTAGCGAATTGTAGTGCTATGTTGGGAAGCACGATTTCATCAGTCACAGTCAACAATCAATGGGTTATTCGGAAGATTGCTGAGTTTCTTGATTTGGTTGACTTACAAGAAGGACGTGTGTGAAGGCTTTGAAATATCTGATGGAGTTACCTTGTACGGTGCCAAAGATTTGGAGGATTTTATATCTAATAGTGTAAGGGGAAGGTCAAAGTTTGTTCCTGGTGATAAGAGAATCAATTCAGGGAAGTCGTCTACCTTTGAATTACAAAAAGTCTGGTGGCGTGAGACTAAGTCAGGAGACAATTGGAAGCGTTTGTCAGTTGTAGTGATGGAAAGAAAAAGTATCCTTTGGTAAATAACGGAATAATCCAGGACTCAGAGTCCAACAGTGTTTGCTGAAGAATTGAAAAGGCTCCTTTTAAGATTTTCAGTCCATTGCTTGAGTATGCTGAAGCAATTATGCTGCGAGTTGAAGCTCATAAGTTTGCAATAAAGAAAGCTATCAATTGATATGTACCCAACACATTCCATCAGAAATCAAATCTTATTCAGCGGGATATGCTCCATCACTCGATCAGGTATCAGACTTTTTCTCTTGTGCAGTTCTCTTTGCCTCCGATGATGAAAGCTATCGATTAATATCCCCAACACAGAGTGAGGCCATCGGGCGAACCTCTTTTGGCATGAGGAGTGTCTTTGGGTCTCATGTAAGTCATCTCCGCATGCTTCAAGTTTCCCTACAAGTTTTCTTTTGTTGTTCCCATAATCTTGTGTTTTGCGACGTCTTAGAAATTATTGATGTACATAGAAGGCTACTGAACGCTATGATCAATAGATCTTTATAGCCCCCTGGAACCGTTGTATCAGAAGCTGGTTTTGTGGCATGTGCTTCATTACTCAATCAGTTATCATACAATGTGTCTTTGGAGCAGTTGTCTCCACCTCAATCACAGATCCGTTCACATCCTATCAAGGACTTCTGCACATGCTTCAAGAGCCCTTGCTATATGTTTTCTTTCACCCGCTGTTTTTTTGGAATGATTCATCTCGGAGGATTTCAAAAGCTATTGAATAACATGAAACTTATGTCCCTTTGAATTCTGAATACAAGTCTTATCTTGTAAATATGGTTCATGTTTAAATGCTTTATCATGCACTTTGTCTTTTGTGCAGTGCATTCTTAGATCGATCCAATTTGAGGATGAATACCTGAAACCCTCGGATGCAGCCATATTGAAGTGTCATTTTACAAAATATTTACATGCATAGCAGGTTTCATGTAGCCTTTGGCAATTTTGTTGCCTGCCTACAGCTAGTGGCTGATTGCGCTGGAATGTAATTACTTATGAGTAATAGGGAAGCTTTGTGATTATCAGATATGTGGTATTGCTAATACTATGACATAAGCAGAGGATAATGCTCAAGTGACAAGCAGGACATACAAGGAAGCATCAAGCTGGAAAAGCAGTCTGGATGTGTTCTAACATACTCACTTAGTTTGACATAGCATGATGGTGTTTAGATTGAGAAAGATCAAGAGTAGTAAGTAGAGAAATGTTGTACATACTTTCTGATAGTTTTTTAATTCTGCGAAATTATGGTCATCTACATTAATATTTAATCAATTCAATTTTACTAAAGCTCAAAACTATAGTTTACTAATAACTCACTTCATGAACAATCTCCAGTCAATTGCAAAAAGCTTGCCAGATTGGTCAAGCCCTCTGGTTTGCACCTGATCCATGCACTTGTTTACAGAACACTTGGTTCCAACTATTTGATTTTTCTTGTAATTTCCTTCTAACACAAATCTCTCTGTGATGCAAAACATCATTGGACAACAGCTCTAGAGACCTATAATGGTATCAGAGGGCTCTCAATCAAGCCTTGATGTTTTCCTTGATCTCCCTCCCTCACCTCCCTTTTGTTTCAGTTCCCCTGGTTTGCCTTTTTCCAATTGCTGTTTTTTCTTGATTGCCCATTCTCTGATTTCTTTTTAATGGTTAAAACTACTCCCTTACCCCTCCCAACTACTTTACTGGTAGTGGCCATTTTAGGTGTCCTGACATGCACCCTCCAACAGGTAAGGCATTCCATCCTGCCATTGCATATACTTTTTATCAATTTTTTGCTTTCTGTTTTTGACTATGTAGACCAAAGACCACCCCAACTCCTATTTTTCAAACACTCACCCTTGCATGCCCAGTTTAGCCACACCAACACAATGCCAAAACCCAGATTAACACAGCTGTGGCAAGGCTATGTCTCATGAACTCAAGGTAACTGCTAGATAATTGAAATCTCCCTGTTCCAGACAGTCAAGTTTCTGTTGCACAGGCCTTCTTGAACTCCCCTGCTCAGAGTCAGATTGGTTATCTGGTACTCAACTCATCCCAAGCCTCAGAATCCACCATACCAACAAGGTTAATAAGCTCATCCCAAGTCTTGGAATGCTTTGAGTTGCCTGGAAACCTGCAGCTCTCAGAAGGTGTTTATCTTCTGAACAAGATAACCTATCACAATTGTTCCATCAAGCCACCTAGCAAGCCTCCTTGCGCTCATGAAGGTGAGTGGTCACTTTTTCAATCAATATCTAGAAGTTTGAATAATACAGGTTGTTTTTCCAAAAACACCTGTACTGAACCAGTGGTAAAAATCACTTTGAGGCCTTGTATACTTGCAAGGCGGTCAACGGATTTGCAAGAAATTCAATCAAGAAGGGTTGAAAGCCTGGTTTTTTGCCCTACAAGATCCCAGCGCAGAAGACCAAGAACCACTGCCAGCATTAAATAGGTTCCCTGGTCGGAACATGACCTAGGCTGGGAATATCATTGAGAGAAGAATGGAGCATCAAATCATCTCGCACTGCACATCTGAGCCATAAAGCATACACTACATATGTGCAAACATCTGAGTAAATCCTTAGCTATCAGCTACATACAGGTCCGCTCAGTTATCTGCTCATCTAGATAAGGAAATCATGTGTAATACATGCTGTAACTTTGTTCAGATTGAGACACACATTTCAAAATATTGACTACATATATCACAATGGCTACTCAGGCAATATTCATGGAACTGTGTAACAGTAGCAGAATGGGAATCTGATCACTAGGACCCATATTCCCATCTGGGAACCTCTTTAATGCTGGCAGTGAACTGACATACCGGCATGCCACTTGTTGCCTTCAAAGACCCTACCCCAATTCTGATGGAAACTCCAATATCCTCAATCAAGCTGACACCCAAGGAAACATCTCTATGCAGGTATACATCACTCAACTCAAAAAATACCCTAACAATTGTGAACACTTCATCACTTCTGAAGCCAGAATCCAAGACTAAAACACTGTTATGTTGAATCCAAAAAAGGAAGCTGGAGTCCTTGTCTTGATGCAAGATCCAGCTCAAAAGGTTTGAGATGATGAATGTGTGAGTTTTATTATCTTTATTGATCTTTTTTTGACTAAACTGATGTTGTGTGTTTCTAGGAACTATATCAATCTTGCATGCCAGAGTAGTTGCAAAGGATGCAAAAAAAGACCAAACCACCATCCCTTCTGCTATAGTTAGAGGTCTCCCAATGCACTGGACAACAACACCTTTCTGCACTTCTCAAAAAGTACACTACTACTCACAACAAGTTGCACAAAGGGTGGAAAATTTATAATAAAGATGATGTGACCATGGTGATTAATATCCCTCATGTACATATGGTTAAGTGGGACCATAAGTCATGTGGTGGGTGCTTTATTTAAAAAAAGACACACCCCGTTGCGCCTGAGGGGGGTAAGGTAGGCTCAATTTCTTTGGGGGAGCAAGATGCACAATAGGTGCAAAGAATAGATACACAAGGGTTGAATTATGTGCCATTGTGAACATTGGGGATTAGGAAACATCTGGACCAACCGGACACTTTGTTACATTTAGTTTTAGTGGAAATATTGGTTTAAATGCCTTTCACCCGGTGCTTTGGGGTTTTATGTACGTCTTGGGTGCCTTAATTTTGGTTTCTTGGTCAAGGTATTACTGCAAAATAGGTGAAAAATCATTGTTCATCCAATGGAGTACACATAGGGTGTGCCCTCCCCATATTTGAGAAAAAGGCTGTGGCCAACATGTGACCCACAACATGGTGTGTTTTCTTTTGGATTTTTGTCCCTTTCCATCATGATCAATCTTATAATTTACTTTTTGCAACAAAACCCCCTGTACTTTTCAATAGGCCAAACAAGATCTATGAACTCCTATGTAGAGTAGCATAGGCTACGCCAGAGGGGGATGAAGTACAACCAAAGAGAAAGGTGGTACAACAGGCACAATGAAGCTTCCCTAAACTCCCAAGGAATTCAAAGTTCAGAACAGAGGAGTACAATGCAAGAAAAACATTTCCTACTACGCACAACCAACACCTGCAACAGCCTTGCTGTTTATTCTTCCTACTGAGCCCACAACATCAAATTCCAATCAATACCTTCATGAGCTGTGAGAAAGGGAACTGATGAGAAACTGGATATTAACCACAACATTCTCTACTCCATTTTTTTCTGATGAACACTATTGGAGATAGAATCAACATGGCTGCTGTACCCAATCCTATTTCTCACTTAATCCACATCAAAAGATTCCAATACTCAAGGTTTCACATTTGTTGATGTTGCTTTTTGCGGGGTTTGTTGAGGATTACTAGAGTTTGAAGGAAACAGAATCTCGCAGTTGTTCACTACAGCTGGAGCAACATGCTATATCGTGAGTGTGCCGGTTATTCAAGTAATGAATACCTCCACAGTCTCGGCAGTCAAAAGCAGAACTCGCGGTGACACCACATTCACCAGGTTTATGACATCGAGGGCACTTCACCGAAGCTCCACATATCTTGTTTCTTTCTTCGCATGCTGTCAAACGTGTTCCAGGACATCCATCAGAATTCATGTCAAATCTGGCCCATGCTGTGCCGGCTGCAAAAAGTGCCCACAGATATAGACACGCGCGGACGTGATTCATTGTTGGTCAATTGTAATACTATATCAGGGAGAATGATTTCATCAGTTGCAGTCTGCAGTCAAAAAAATACTCAAAGGCTCGCTCAGTTCCTCGATTTATTAGTCAACTTACAAGCAGGATATGTGTGAATGCGTTGGAGTATCCGATGGGATTGCCTCAAATGGGGCCAAAAATTCGAACAATTTTCTGTCTGATAGTGGGGCCCGGGGGGAGGGTCAAGATTAGTCTGGTGATAAGAGAGTCATATTAAGAAGGTCACTTACCTTTGATCTGCAACAATTTTTGTGGCTTAGCGAATGATTTGAGACACAATTGGAAGAGTTTTTAGTGAGGGAAAGACAAGTATTTGGTAAGTAAAGGATTATATCCAGGGGATCTTCTGCTGAGAATGGACTTAAGAGAAGAATTTACTGGTAAGTATCAATGACTCTGTCTACCCTGCTAAATCCAAAGAAGATGAGAACAACAAGGCTCCTTTTATGCTTTTCAGTCCATTGCTTCAGTATTCTGGAACTTTTTCTCTTGGAGTTGAAGCTCATACACGGTTCTGATAAGGAAAGCTATCAACTGAAACCTAACACGTTCCACCAGAAGCTTATGTTGCGGGATGTGCTCCATCACTCAATGAGCTATCATCGACTTTTCTTTTTGCGCACTCCCCTTCGCGTCCGATGATTAAAGCTATCAATTGATAACACATCCTCTGAGACTTTCGGATGAGCCTTTTTTCACACAAAGGGTCTCTCCGGATCTTATCTTAATAATTCTCCGCATGCTTCAAGTTTCCCTGCAAGTTTGCTTTCTTTATCCGCATCATTTTGCCCGGTACGTTTTAAAAATGGTTCAAGTAAGTAAAGGCTGATGAAATCTGATCATAAATATTACATATCCCTCTCAAACCGTTGGATCAGAATGTTATTTTGCGGAATCTGGTCCATCGCTTGATCAGTTATGATAGGATTTGTCTTTTTGTTCACTTCGATCGCAGGTCATTTCGTATCTCATCTGAGACTTCTGCACATGCTTCAAGTGCCCTGGTTATATGCTTTTCTTCATCCACGGCGTCCTTGAAATGATCCAAGTCGCAGGATCCAGCAGGCTACCACATAATATCTTACTTTAAATCAGAAATTTATATTGAGGAATATATCACCGCGTTATCATAGACTTCGTCATTTCCGCAGCTCTCTTCACTTCAATTGCATTTGTATCTTGATGATGCAATTTGATGCGATGAATACGTTTCTGAAACTTTCGGATCAAGCTGAATTGAAAGTTTGTTTGACGAAATACCCTATAGCAGGTTTCAAGCCTTGTCAAATTTCTCGCCTCTCTGGTATAGCTGATGGGCTTTTTAGCTGGAAGGTTACATATGAGTTATGGGCAAGACTGGCGGTTCTCAGACGCAAGGCATGGCTGAGCTTTGAGCAGAAGAGAATGCTCATTTGGTGGATAAAACAAAAAAGAATGCACAACGCAGGGGAACTGAATGCGTTCTATGATACTTGTGACTCAGTTAACATTATTTCTATAAAATATCTTATTCGGCTATTTTGGAATACTTGAATCCTTTGGTTTTGCTTGATCTTTCACATTCTCAAAGGCCTCCTGAGGTTTTTGGTTTTTCTCGCTTTTCATCATGAAGTATGTATGTCAAGATGGATGGGTCTATACCAAAGACCGCACAAAATCAAGTTTAAATGTTTCAAAAATTACAATTCTCAAGTTATAAGCTAATTAAACACGACAACAAAAAATTAAACGCGACGACAAAAGATTGAACACGACGAAAAGTTAAATAATTATTTAAATCATCTTGAACTCCTTCCAAAGAGATTGTATGATATGAAGTTTCTCAATCACAAATGAAGAAAATTACAGGAAGGTAGGTCTGATGAGATTTGTTTCTGATATTCCAAGCTTCGAATTCCGGGCCATACAGGGATTCACCAAACCACACCGGCAGTCCGTTTTACTTTCAGCGATGTGTAGTTGTTGGTGAAATAGACCCAGGTGAAAGAGACCCACGCCTTGAATCAGCAGTAGTACTCGAGGAAATTGAGCTCGTTCTTGAGATCACAGGCCCATTCTTCACTTCAGATGTCAACAAGACTGTAGATTGCCTAAACTCTTCGCCACCAAAGGCAGGTGCAGGCTTTCCTTGTCCCATCGCGAGCGTTCTAACCACTTCTACATCCTCAATGTCACCTGTCCTTGGACTTGGGCCTGCCATACTTCCAGTACGGATCATGTTGAACACAGCCGTATAGGGTGGTAATGGAGGTGTTCGAGCTGCTTCAGGCGTGATGTTGAGAGCCTTTGCCCACCATGGGAGCGCTGGTGGTGGGGGTAAGATCGCTTGTGGGTTTGCGAGATCAGGTATTGGGACAGGGTACGTCTGATCGACGAAAGATCCAAGCCGATGATATAGACTTCGTAAAGAACCAATCAAAATACAAATCCTGCTCAGAAAACATTCAAAGGATGTCAGTTCGAGCGGGGTGTTGTAAAGGTGGAGCGGGAAAACCTCACTCGACCAATAAAGCAACTACAAAGATAGTACCAATGTAAGCAAACGAGACACCACTCAGAGTTCCGTCACCCATATCTCCTTGCTCGTTTTCCCCATTATGCCTCGACGGGTCATCCATTTGGGCGTCGTGCGAGGCTTTGGCGTTTGATATGCGGCGCTGAGTTTCAATGAATCCAATGGTAGTGAGAATCAAGAGGGTAACACCGAACATAACCAATATGACAGGTTTGAGGAACAGATTTGATAGAGATCGATGAACCAAAGTCCCTGATCCTCGGCGAGCGGAAGGACGATCACCAGTTTCAATCGGGACTTGATTCATGAACTCGCCGGCGAGCTCAGAAGCAAAACGCGGTCTTCCACCCCAAGCCTCTAAATCTGCGTCGTCATTTGCAAAGCTCGCATTTGATTGCATCCGTCGTCCGCGCGGGGCCTGCGATGGGATAGTCTGCGGTTGTCCTGAGACAGCATACGATTGTAAGCGCATTCCTCGCGAGTCTTGCACTGTGTTGGTGTGCTGTTGTTGGTGAGTGTATCCTACGATGCCAACTCAAATGAAATTAGCTGGATGATACGTGATAGACTCGAGATGGATGCTGTCTACCAATCTCTCCCACTTTCTCAGGGAGTGGGCCTGTTTGATCTTTACCATGGATTGTTCCACGGGAGAACGATTCCTGGTCTTCAAGGATAACAGGCAAGGCTAACGATCGTCTGGATGAGACGAATGCATTGGGCGCATTGGCGGATCGGTAAGATGACATGGGTCTTGATTGTTGGTCGCGTAATACGTATTGCGTCTGCTTAGGATGTCACTTGGCACACAGTGCAAGTGCTGTTTGCAACCGACATAAGTGAAAATCAGTGTTTTTGTTCTCCTTGTGACCGTAAAGTGAGATTCTTACTACGAATAAGCCTAATTGTTCGGATGATGAAACGTCCCAGGGACGGTGGGGGAGAGTGTCGAGCGAAGAGCTCGATGGCGACTTCCGTGATGCTTTTGCTGGAGGGATTCGTTATTATTTGTTAAGTGAAGGCGGGAGGTTTTTCCAGAAAACGTAGGATGCAACGAAGAAAACGGACGACACTGATTAAAGATTAATTGGACAAGAGATAAACAAGACTCCAAAACGACAAACTAGAGAAACAAAGATAAAGCTGGGCTATAGGAAGGAAGGATAGATATTTGAGCTTTTCGCTATGAGATATAAGAAAAGAGAAATCCTTAGACGTCTATTATCTGGATAGCTTACACGGCTTCCGTGATTTGCAAAGCTGTTGTGACGATCGATACCAGAAGACGAAAATCAAGTCCGAATTGGATGACGACCAATGTCACAACGGCCAAGAGTGCTGAAGAGATCTTGAGAGACTTCAGCTCGATATCTTGAGGATAGTAAATCAAGTCCAGTCCGTAGATATGATAAAGGAATGGAATTAATCGAAACAAGCAAAGCACAGATGACCTATCTAGTCAGGCCTGTGAATGATAAAACTTGCGGCCGATCATTACTTGACGACAGCTACCACCACCCACGCCAACTTGCCCACAGAAAAGAAAGAATAATGTTTAACAAGCGTTTTGGGATCCACTTAAGCTTAAACCTCGCCTCAATCATGGTTACGATAACGACGCTACACATTTCAAAATTGTTCAGCAGAGAATCGGACCCCGCGCCGGCCGAGATGCAATAGGAAAGTAGCAATGGGAGAAAATAAAAGCATGTGTACGGAAACTCCTTCAAACGGGATTGTGCTGCGTCTTTCTTCTCCCTTCGCGATTTCTCCCCTTCTGGTTAAACGTGCTGCATTTTCTGCGCGAGACTAAGAACTTGAAGGAACTTGCGTCTCAGTCTTCAGAAAACTCGTACGTCATATATGCACGTATTCTTCAAAACCCCAAGCAAGCTGAGGGTTTGCAAGGTGTTTCCTCGCTCAAGCCTGCCTTCGGCGCGAGGGACTTTGTTGAGTTTGATGCATACATCCCCCGAAAGCTAGGAGCCCAAAATCAGCACAAAGGAGAATTTCTGGTCAACAGGATGTGACAATAACTACTTAGACCCAGCATATAGTAGACTTACTGCCACCTCTTCATGGGCAGTCAGTGAGAGCATCCCCAAGCGCTTGCCGTAAAGCGTGACGTACAGCACTATGCAGATTTGGGGTAGCCTGACCCCTTCCAAAAAGGTATCTTCTTCATGTCAAGACCGGATGATCTCACCGCCCATATATCTTCAAAGATTAGATCACCTGTCGCTGATTTGACTGTCGTCTTTTTATAAATGATTTAACAATTTAACTATGAATTTAACAAGAATGAGCGGAGATCTCGAATAAGCCGAGAATACTTGAATAGAAGTATTATAATATCCATTGAGTGAATAAGTAAGGAAAGTGGAAAGAACCGAAGCTCGAGATCATCCGCTGGATTATAAGTGTTAATCATATCAGAGAGTAAACAGCTTCCTCATTACTAAAAAGGTAATGAGGGATTTTCGCAAGGAAAATCATCACAAGAGTGCCAATCACACGCGACGCAATGGCTTATCCATCATTTGTTGTGGCTACGTCACATGGCTTTGTAACCTATTCTCTATGTAACTAGAAGTTCACTCCTAGTATGTACCCACTTGTTTCACATGATTGTGATCACAAAGGTACAGCTGTTCCAACAAAGATTGATTTTTTTGAAAATCTCGCCAATGTGCAAAACCCGGGTTTTATCCCTCACTTGATTTTGTCTCTCCGCTAATTGGAAGAATACAGGAAATAATAAGCCTGTAATCAAGTTTTGTCTTTGGTTTTAGCCGCTGCGGAGACAACTTTCTCCAAAAAACAGTTGTCAACCTTCCTTGGAACGGCTGTACAACACAGCATACTAAACATAACTGATTCAAAAGCCAATGGGTATGAGCACAAATCTCATGACAAAGTCCCTCCATTGGTTTAGAAACCCCTCATCCGGTGAACAATACTCAACAACATACAAACATCATCAGACCCCACTCAAAATCTCTAGCCACACTCATGCCTACAACTCTATAAGGAGAGATCAAGAGGGCATGCAAAGCACGCAGGACTCATCATCAGGAGACAAGGCATAAACACAGCGCAGGCATTCTGTAACCCATGATTCAGTAAGAGGGAATCTTAAACGTTATTTAGAAGATCTTTATACTTCCTTTAATCTATTTATATTGAATGTGATTTTCAAGGAAAGGTAATTTAATCCTTCTTAGGACAACTTTTAAGATTCAAATGTTAAGCTAGCTCCAACCTTGTGAGCGGCTATACCACCCCCACTCTTCTCATCATCACCATTGCTGGCTCCATTGACTTGCTGAGTATCAAGTGCAAGCCCAAAGCTGACTTTCACACCAGGTCGTAGGGCTTGAGTGTACCCCAAACCAAGGATACCGTTATTGTTGATCTTGGCTTTGATGAAAGAGGCGTTGTCGAGGTAAGCCCTGGTGCCAACCTCGAGAATGATGTCCTTACTTGTCGATTTCGTGTTGTAGATCCTACATGTATCCATAGCACCTCCAGGAAATTGTCAATCAATAGTCTTAATCTTGAGTTTTTAGTGAATTCAACTCACGCTTTTGCACCGGCTTCAACATCACGGTTCACCTTGTGGTAGTAGGATGCATGGAAAGCGGACAAGTTGGAGAGTCCGTGTAAAGTGATGGCGTACTCGGGAGCAGAATATCCGATTGCAGCGTTATATTTCTGGATAAACATTTCAATGATGAGCTAAAATCAAAACTCGATTAGGTGAATCAACCCTACGCTAATTGCAGCTCTTTGCACATCGTAAGTGGCATCAGCTCCCACAAGGAAACCCTCCCGACCGACAACGGCATCCAAAGTGAAAGCAGGTCCCTACAACATGGGATTGAGAGATAAGCAAGGTGATCACACAAGACGCCACGAGAGACTTACACGGAAGATATCGACTAATGTCCTGGCATGTAGCCCGGGCTGCTTGTATGTTCCGGTCAAGGCGGCAGTTTTGGCATTTGTGACTGGATTGATGCTAGTGGCCAAGTCGAGCTTGAGACCTTATATGTGATAACCGATCATCGCGAGCGGGGGAGAGTCACTTTAGCATGAGAAACGGAACGATGAGGATGATGACCCATGACCCACCTTTGGCAAATTTGTTGTCAAGTTCAAGTTGAGCCCTGACTAGGTTCGAGGTGGACCAGGTAGGTGTGAAGGTGAGACCGTACTTGGGTAAAAGGTATTTTGCTTCAAGGTCACCACCGATCGAACCAGATCTGCTGTCTCGTAAACCAGCAACCTAGAGAGTTTATAGACATCAAAATGAGATCAGGTAAAGTGGTCAAGAGAGCGGAAAGGTCGAAAACGTCAAAGTAGGAGGAAGGACGGTGATCGATCGGGACAAGATTGGATATAAGGATTTAGTTATAGGAAACAAACAGTCGAAGTAGAGTAAGTGAGTGTAGGTCGAAGAGTGATAAAGGGATCTTTGAAAGGGCGAAAGAGAAGAGTAGCTGATGATCGAGTAAAAGTAAATTGCTTGAGACGCACTTTAAAGACGACATTGTTAGGTGCCTTTGTTTTAACCTCAAGTTGAGTACCAGAGATTGGGTAATCTTTACTCAAAAGATCGTTAGCTGCCTTTCCAAGGTCTTTGAAGGAAGGAGGTACTGGTTGAGACATGATAAGGGTGTTGTTGATGATGATATGGGTGATGAGTTGATGAGGATTGAGTTTGAAGTTGGTTGAACTGTCTCGGTGAGAAATTCGATCACAGACTCAGTTCTATGATCTGTAACTTCCGTAACAGGCCGAGTTCAAGCTGATTTCACTGGAAACCTAACTACATACACTGTCACACCTATAAAACCATAAAAACTTCACCAACATTTGTACATGGCTCAACTGCTCACACTCAGCATTTGGAATTTTGGCTTGATTTGAAGGCTTTAAAAGACTGTGAAGTGGTACTACCACGTTTGAGAAGAGAAGCAGAAATCCCAATGATGATCATATGCTACCTTTGATTTTAAACTGGCACATGTTCGAGCTTTTTTGAAAATTTCTTGCGAGTTGGTGGTGAACTCCTACTAGACTTTTTACATTCTCTTAGATACGCCAGGTAAATTGGAAGCTTGCCTTGGTAGACAATAACTTGTTATCTTGAAACATTTTATATGTATTTCCTCACTTTTGCACGCCCAGCTCTGCAAAATTGTATCACATGGCCCCTCTTTTTTCTCGTATGTTTGTTCTTCTCACTTTGGCCTAGGGGTCAGGTGTTCATCATGGTAATTGGAATCCATCTCATGCTTTTTGCTCATCACAATGTGATATATGTCAGCTGATCATGTCAAAGATGCGGCTTGGTTTTTGAGGTAGGAGTGCTCAGGTTCCGTTAGGAGCACTATGGCTCCTGATTATTGGTCATTTATCACGAGTGTTCAGTAGAAAACTGATTCGAAATACCTCCTGCTGGCATATAAAGTGGCTTGGGTTCTATGATTCTGCCACTCTCACCGTTGGAAGTCAAAACCATCAGTTAGTTTCAAAGATATTTCTGCAAAACATACGTCCAAAATACTTCGGCTGAGCCAGCACGGGAGCGTACAGACTGCACTTGCATAGATTGTGAAGGCGCATCAGCATGGTGAGAATATTTAAATTTTTGGCCACAATTGTGAGGAGCTTTGAGGCTTCAGTATGCTTGCTTTATGCTGACTGATGTGTGACGGCCAAATGTAGTTTTAAAGTGTATTTTATTAAACTGCAGTTTTAGGCAAGACGAATCAATCTCGATTCTCCCTATCATCAAGGTCAACAAGATCTTCATTAACAACCACTATCACTTCAGCATGTCAACTTCAGTCTCAACACCACCCACTTCATCGATCGCAACTCAATCATCTTCATCATCATTATCATCTATGCCTCATCATCAACCAAATAGCAATCTAACTTCTGCCCCGCGAGGTATCTTGAAAAACAAACCAGGATCACAAGAATCTCGTTCCCCACAGTCAGTCACCGTTCTCTCCTTCATCTAGTTGATATCCATATCGATTGTGGTATTCTTGCTGATAAGTCGATCTGAAAATCAGTTTGACGTGGGATGAACCTAACCTGGCTCTCAACGATCTCAACCGGTATGTCTTAACATTAGATCCCCCCCGCTAGATTTCCTGATTACCGCTTTGTCTTTTGACTGATGCCTTTCCATGCCATGCTTGAATAGAGACTCGACCATGAAGATCACTGAGCCAAAGACACCATTTGTATGCTATCTTTGAGGTTAAATCGATCTACGTCATATCAACTGACCTCACCTCAACTACAGGTTCGCTACAACGCAGAGACAGACGAAGTCATGAACTTGGACGGTAAGCTTACTATACATGTTGATTTCTTCAAGAACATAAGCTTGGTAGATAATTGAACCTCAATCTATCATTGGCACAGCGATACCGGACTTCGATCTTGGCCACTCCACCAGCTCGGCCAGAGACCGTAGTGCTTCACCTGGGACTTGTATGTCAGGTCTTACCCAAGAAGTCTCATCCCCTGTACATCAAGATAGTGCTGGTCCTAGTGTGATTCGTCGAGCCTCAACATCGTCTCGTAGGGATTCTGACACTACCGAACGAAGACAAGTACTATTACAAAAACCTAACATACCTTCAGCTGCCGATGACGATGAAGACGAAGAGCTAGATCCTGATAGCAAGGCAAAACATGATGCATTTGTGAAAGCTCGAAAAGGTCATTACGGGTAAGTATATCTCAAAAACCGATCGATCCCAAATATAACAATGAAAGCTGACCTACTGAGTCTTTTGCTTGTTCAGGAATGAAGCTGAAGCGATGAAGCGTGCACGAGAATTGGCTGAGCGTGAAGAAGTTGAGAGTGAGATGAATGCTGAATCCGATTTACCCAGTGCGGATTCCTCATCTGACTTGGTCTCCTTGACCAATGGTACAGCATGATTACATTCATTTGTAATCTGTAATTTTTCACATCCTTACCCCTCCTTGCTATCCTTATTCACGTCTTCTGCCTGGACACTCGCGTGGATCGAATGTTTGTTTCTTTGAACCGGCTTCCCAAATGTTCCTCAGTTTTGCTGCACATGTGCAGGCCAATTGTTAGTGGTGCATTTCATTCCTGGTTGTGCAACTTGTAATCAAAATCATATTGCGTTGTATTCTCTTGAAAATCTTCGTCCACAAATATTGTGCTCAAACCCACCCATCGACAAGTAGGTATCCTCCTCTTAACACCTCTGGGCCTGTCTGCCTAACAAAGGGTCAATCAACCCCTCACCACCAAACTCAACACGTCATGCGAGTTACCTTCCGGTGACGCAGCTCGTTTGGATAATTCCAAAGGCTTGGTCGGAAATCTATCAAGCAAAATATCTCCTCTAACTTGTCTCCATACATCAGCGGCACAGACGATACTCACTTAAACACACGCGGATAATTCTGACCGTCACGCTGTGTCCAATTGTTAATCATCAAAATATTATCTTGAGGTCAATCATCTCATGTAACTTTTCTACATGATGAAATCCCAAAAGCTGTGATCATTGAGACCAAACGCAAGGATGTGAATGTTGGACAGTCCCTCATCCTCAAACATGACATGGGATTGGGTACAAATTCAATCATCTGAATTGTCTGCATCTATGAGGACAACAAACAGTTCTCACTACAAGCGATGAGATTACATAAGATCGTGTTCATCGTGATGGATACATCCTTTGATGAAATGATTTGAGAGGTCGATACATTCTTTGATGAAAAGATTTAAGATGACACTTCCCTTCATTACCCTATGAGGTTTGTACTGCGATTTGGCCAGAGCGAGGAAGGAATATACCTCATAACTATCTACACGCTGCTGGTGTTTCATCACAGCAGACCAATTCGCATTACTCTTTTGGTCACATAAAGAATTTTATTCCCTTATCTTGTTTGGATTTTGTTTTTTTACCAATTGTCCATCTTTAAAGGAAAAGGTGTGTTTTCATCTTGACCTCATTATTGCTTGGATTATCTGCAAGGATCTCTCTGATACATTATATATAGGTAAATAGAAAAACATAGTTATCACTCCAACCTTTTCGATACCTAAAACCTCCTTGGACAGACCAAGTCCAACAAGATCACCACCGACGCTTCATCGCAACTCAACAGTATTTTACTATAGAAGCCAGGTCAGTCCTTCAAACAATCATTGCTGTTTCAGTCTTCAATTGTTGATTTGCTTTGAAAGTGAACAGATCTACCTTATACATTGAAGATGAATCTCGCCAGCTGTTTCCTCTATTACTTAATCAGTATGGAACACCTAGTTAATGGAATGCATTTGGCCCATCGCGTGCCGCCAGCAGACATCGGTGGCCCTGGTGCTCCAAGTATTGCGTTATCCTCCACAGGGGCTCCAATGAGTGAGGAAAAAATCAATAATGATCGACATCTTGCTGAAAATTTCGAAGTATATCAAACCAAATATATGCCACCTTCAGCCCCACCGGGCTTTCAAGATTCTGAAACACTTATTATTTATAATACCGATGTGGAGCGCAAGACTTCCGCCGGTGATGTTTTCAAAGCAATTGGGATAGTCTTTGGTTCCATTTTTGGTGTTTTTGGTCTGGGTTATGCGGCATGGAAAGCAGTGGGTCCGGTTGCTGATTGCCTGGATAAACTGGATGCAGAAAAAAAGATGCGTCAAGTTACTCCAGTCTAATCTCAACCACGATCACTCTTCCAAAACAAAATTTGATTACACAACTTTACATACATGACTCCCATGAATAAGCAGTGTGAAGTCATTTTTGGATCAGAAGGGTGTTTGTGTAAGGTGGCTCTAAGGAGGACCCCGGAGAGCTACTGTAGAGGGGCATGAGGTACAAGATTTTATTTTCTAACGTTTTCTGTCAATTGCTGTGTGTTTTACAGCCTCTACACCACATTAAAACTCTTCAAACCTGTGTAGGTATGGATTTTAAACTGAACCAAGCACCGTGTAAATATCCGTGTAGCACGTCGACGTGCACACACGAAAGACTTTCCTTGGACCCTGTAACGACCCATCAAAGAGGTTCCACGACAAGTACATCTTCCCCTTATCACCTGGGAGGTTGAAAGTCAGTTGGCCCCCACTGACAACAAAGGATTCTGCAAATCCTTTAAACAAATCACAAAGCACAAAGGGCGCTCAACAAAAATCTCAGTCTCAATCCGACCAAAAGACTTTGAGATTTATTTTAAAACTCTCCGTGTGTGCACGTCGACGTGCTACACGGATATTTACATGGTGAAGTGTTATGATCCAGGCTGGTCATCTATGCGGCAGGAGCAATGGACTTGATCAAGTTTCTATGACTTTAACCTGTGGTGAAGTGTGTGTAGTGTAGGACAATATTATATGTCATGTACCTCAATAAGGGTTTTCCTGGGTCCTCTCCAAGGTGCCACTTGAGTCAAAACTATGAGTCATCCATGGCAAAACAATACATTGTAAGTAAGTGATGTTTGCTAGTAAAAAGGAGAGTTTTTAATAGATGATTTATTTTGCAAACAAAAGAACAGCACAAAGAACTAACAGACAAAACATGTACACATGACAAGAGAAATAAAGAGATATGAAAAAGGACTAAGAGAAACTCACCTATGAGTCATTCACGGCAAAACAATACGTTGTAAGTAAGTGATGTTTGCTAGTGAAAAGAAAAGTTTTTAATAGATGAGGAAAAAACTCTTCAGACTCATAGGCGGCTCTTTATAGTAAACAGACTAAGAGCATCCCCACCGCAGCTGGAACCGTAAAGTTGATACAGCTGTCCAAATTGACAGACAGACAGCTGTATCTCAGCTGCAGCCAGCCTTGCCAGCACCGCGCAAGCTGGATATTGTTGTTGTGATTCTACCTTTGTCATGGATGACTGTTTTGTTGGATCACAACCTCTGGAAAAAATCCAGTCTTTTGCTTCAATCACTTGCTGGGACAATCAAGTGGTGGTGATTGTCATACAAGATAGCACACACTGCAGCCAACTAGGGTCTGCGTGTGAAGCTGGAATGTCCAAAGTATGAAAAAACAAGTTGTCCAGAGCTTTCAGCTCAACTAGCAACAACTCGGACACCTGTGGCCAGGTGAGGGACTACAGTCAACTCTCGATGTAAGCATATCGACCGTCGACAGATTTGCTGTGCTTACATCGAGCGATGCATAATCACAAAGTAAGCATAATTCAAGTTTTGCCCTTTTTTGGCTTGAATTATGCGTTTATGGTGAGAATGGGCCCCCGGCGCGCAAATATAAGCCCCGCTTTGAGCGGGGCGGAGCCAGCCCGGCCCCGCCGAGTCAATATGGTACCGCCCAGCAGTCGGACTTACCACACAAATAATCATCATCAACCAAATAGCAATCTAACTTCTGCCCCGCGAGGTATCTTGAAAAACAAACCAGGATCACAAGAATCTCGTTCCCCACAGTCAGTCACCGTTCTCTCCTTCATCTAGTTGATATCCATATCGATTGTGGTATTCTTGCTGATAAGTCGATCTGAAAATCAGTTTGACGTGGGATGAACCTAACCTGGCTCTCAACGATCTCAACCGGTATGTCTTAACATTAGATCCCCCCCGCTAGATTTCCTGATTACCGCTTTGTCTTTTGACTGATGCCTTTCCATGCCATGCTTGAATAGAGACTCGACCATGAAGATCACTGAGCCAAAGACACCATTTGTATGCTATCTTTGAGGTTAAATCGATCTACGTCATATCAACTGACCTCACCTCAACTACAGGTTCGCTACAACGCAGAGACAGACGAAGTCATGAACTTGGACGGTAAGCTTACTATACATGTTGATTTCTTCAAGAACATAAGCTTGGTAGATAATTGAACCTCAATCTATCATTGGCACAGCGATACCGGACTTCGATCTTGGCCACTCCACCAGCTCGGCCAGAGACCGTAGTGCTTCACCTGGGACTTGTATGTCAGGTCTTACCCAAGAAGTCTCATCCCCTGTACATCAAGATAGTGCTGGTCCTAGTGTGATTCGTCGAGCCTCAACATCGTCTCGTAGGGATTCTGACACTACCGAACGAAGACAAGTACTATTACAAAAACCTAACATACCTTCAGCTGCCGATGACGATGAAGACGAAGAGCTAGATCCTGATAGCAAGGCAAAACATGATGCATTTGTGAAAGCTCGAAAAGGTCATTACGGGTAGGTATATCTCAAAAACCGATCGATCCCAAATATAACAATGAAAGCTGACCTACTGAGTCTTTTGCTTGTTCAGGAATGAAGCTGAAGCGATGAAGCGTGCACGAGAATTGGCTGAGCGTGAAGAAGTTGAGAGTGAGATGAATGCTGAATCCGATTTACCCAGTGCAGATTCCTCATCTGACTTGGTCTCCATGACCAATGGTACAGCATGATCACATGCATTTGTAATCTCTAATTTTTCACATCCTTACCCCTCCTTGCTATCCTTATTCACGTCTTCTGCCTGGACACTCGCGTGGATTGAATGTTTGTTTTTTTGAACCGGCTTCCTAAATGTTCCTCATTGTTGCTGCACATGTGCATGCCAATTGTTAGTGGTGCATTTCATTTCTGGTTGTGCAACTTGTAATCAAAATCATATTGCGTTGTATTCTCTTGAAAATCTTCGTCCACAAATATTGTGCTCAAACCCACCCATCGACAAGTAGGTATCCTCCTCTCAACCCCTCTGGCCTGTCTGCCTAACAAAGGGTCAATCAACCCCTCACCACCAAACTCAACACGTCATGCGAGTTACCTTGGGGTGACGCAGCTCGTTTGGATAATTCCAAAGGGTTGGTCGGAAATCTATCAAGCAAAATATCTCCTCTAACTTGTCTCCATACATCAGCGGCACAGACGATACTCACTTAAACACACGCGGATAATTCTGACCGTCACGCTGTGTCCAATTGTTAATCATCAAAATATTATCTTGAGGTCAATCATCTCATGTAACTTTTCTACATGATGAAATCCCAAAAGCTGTGATCATTGAGACCAAACGCAAGGATGTGAATGTTGGACAGTCCCTCATCCTCAAACATGACATGGGATTGGGTACAAATTCAATCATCTGAATTGTCTGCATCTATGAGGACAACAAACAGTTCTCACTACAAGCGATGAGATTACATAAGATCGTGTTCATCGTGATGGATACATCCTTTGATGAAATGATTTGAGAGGTCGATACATTCTTTGATGAAAAGATTTAAGATGACACTTCCCTTCATTACCCTATGAGGTTTGTACTGCGATTTGGCCAGAGCGAGGAAGGAATATACCTCATAACTATCTACACGCTGCTGGTGTTTCATCACAGCAGACAAATTTGCATTACTCTTTTGGTCACATAAAGAATTTTATTCCCTTATCTTGTTTGGATTTTGTTCTTTGTGCCAATTGTCCATCTTTATAGGAACAGGTGCGTTTTCCTCTTGACCTCATTATTGCTTGGATTATCTGCAAAGATCTCTCTTATATCATTATATATAAGTAGAAACATAAATAGCAAAACATAGTGATCACTCCAACCTTTTCGATACCTACAACCTCCTTTGACAGACCAAGTCCAACAAGACCATCACCAACGCTTCATCACAACTCAACAGTATCTTACTATAGAAGCCAGGTTAGTCCTTCAAACAATCATTGCTGTTTCAGTCTTTGATTGTTGATTTGCTTTGAAAGTCAACAGATCTACCTTATACATTGAAGATGAATCTCGCCAGCTGTTTCCTCTATTACTTAATCAGTATGGAACACCTAGTCAATGGAATGCATTTGGCCCATCGCGTCCCACCAGCAGACATTGGTGGCCCTGGTACTCCAAGTATCGCCTTGTCCTCCACAGTGGCTCCAATGAGTGAGGAAAAAATCAATAATGATCGACACCTTGCTGAAAATTTCGAAGTATATCAAACCAAATATATGCCACCTTCAGCCTCACCGGGCTTTCAAGATTCCGAAACACTTATTATTCATAATACCGATGTGGAGCGCAAGACTTCCGCCGGTGATGTTTTCAAAGCAATTGGGATAGTCTTTGGTTCCATTTTTGGTGTTTTTGGTCTTGGTTATGCGGCATGGAAAGCAGTGGGCCCAGTTGCTGATTGCCTGGATAAACTGGATGCAGAAAAAAAGATGCGTCAAGTTACTCCAGTCTAATCTCAACCACAATCACTCTTCCAAAAGAAAATTTGATTACACGACTTTACATACATGACTCCCGTGAATAAGCAGTGTGAAGTCATTTTTGGATCAGAAGGGTGTTTGTGTAAGGTGGCTCTAAGGAGGACCCCGGAGAGCTACTGTAGAGGGGCATGAGGTACAAGATTGTATTTTCTAACGTTTTCTGTCAATTGCTGTGTGTTTTACACCCTCTACACCACATTAAAACTCTTCAAACCTGTGTAGGTATGGATTTTAAACTGAACCAAGCACCGTGTAAATATCCGTGTAGCACGTCGACGTGGACACACGAAAGACTTTCCTTGGACCCTGTAATGACCCATCAAAGAGGTTCCACGACAAGTACATCTTCCCCTTATCACCTGGGAGGTTGAAAGTCAGTTGGCCCCCACTGACAACAAAGGATTCTGCAAATCCTTTAAACAAATCACAAAGCACAAAGGGCGCTCAACAAAAATCTGAGTCTCAATCCGACCAAAAGACTTTGAGATTTATTTTAAAACTCTCCGTGTGTGCACGTCGACGTGCTACACGGATATTTACATGGTGAAGTGTTATGATCCAGGCTGGTCATCTATGCGGCAGGAGCAATGGACCTGATCAAGTTTCCATGACTTTAACCTGTGGTGAAGTGTGTGTAGTGTAGGACAATATTATATGTCATGTACCTCAATAAGGGTTTTCCTGGGTCCTCTCCAAGGTGCCACTTGAGTCAAAACTATGAGTCATTCATGGCAAAACAATACATTGTAAGTAAGTGATGTTTGCTAGTAAAAAGGAGAGTTTTTAATAGATGATTTATTTTGCAAACAAAAGAACAGCACAAAGAACTAACAGACAAAACATGTACACATGACAAGAGAAATAAAGAGATATGAAAAAGGACTAAGAGAAACTCACCTATGAGTCATTCACGGCAAAACAATACGTTGTAAGTAAGTGATGTTTGCTAGTGAAAAGAAAAGTTTTTAATAGATGAGGAAAAAACTCTTCAGACTCATAGGCGGCTCTTTATAGTAAACAGACTAAGAGCATCCCCACCGCAGCTGGAACCGTAAAGTTGATACAGCTGTCCAAATTGACAGACAGACAGCTGTATCTCAGCTGCAGCCAGCCTTGCCAGCACCGCGCAAGCTGGATATTGTTGTTGTGATTCTACCTTTGTCATGGATGACTGTTTTGTTGGATCACAACCTCTGGAAAAAATCCAGTCTTTTGCTTCAATCACTTGCTGGGACAATCAAGTGGTGGTGATTGTCATACAAGATAGCACACACTGCAGCCAACTAGGGTCTGCGTGTGAAGCTGGAATGTCCAAAGTATGAAAAAACAAGTTGTCCAGAGCTTTCAGCTCAACTAGCAACAACTCGGACACCTGTGGCCAGGTGAGGGACTACAGTCAACTCTCGATGTAAGCATATCGACCGTCGACAGATTTGCTGTGCTTACATCGAGCGATGCATAATCACAAAGTAAGCATAATTCAAGTTTTGCCCTTTTTTGGCTTGAATTATGCGTTTATGGTGAGAATGGGCCCCCGGCGCGCAAATATAAGCCCCGCTTTGAGCGGGGCGGAGCCAGCCCGGCCCCGCCGAGTCAATATGGTACCGCCCAGCAGTCGGACTTACCACACAAATAATCACCATAAAAGCATATTTTTCCTCTCCTGTGAGATTTATGCTTGTATACACAGAGAAAAACTCGCGATAAGAGCATATTTTCGCCAATCTTATGCTTTAATCATTATGCATCAAGCAATTTGATTTTGGCAGAGCACTCACGTATACCAAAAAAAATCGCGCGGCAACCCTTGCTTACATCGCAATATGCATACACGGGGCTTGCTTATATCAAGAGTTGACTGTATTTGGACACGGTGTAGGGCATCTGGCTGGAAACATAAAGTTGAATTTACGTTTATGTCAGAAATGTTACGTTTCCGGCGGCGCGGTGGGGATGCTCTAAGCTAAGAGGTAGAAAGAAAGACATGTGTCTACACAAAGATGTGACCTCACAACATATCAAATGACTGAAAAGAGAGAAACGGACAAATGAGGAATTTGATAAACAAAAAGAGCACACTACAAAACACAGAGACATAACACAAAAGTCATAGCATAAACCAGACAAAGTCAAAGAAGAAAAAAGAACACTACACATCACATCTAACACACAAACCATTAAAATTACCTCTGAAACATCCTCCAAAATCCCTGTTGAGTGTATCACAGCCCTGAGTCTGCTGTGCTGGACAACACCTTTTTCATTGTCACTTCCCATGTGTGGTCAGTGTGTGTTCTGACACAACCAACTCAATCACCACTTCCACTTGATTGTTGCTTCATATTGGCTACAAAGTCTTGCTTTCAGTTGCTAGGATTGATTTTCTATTGGAATTCCAGCGTATACCAATCTTTCTGTTGGCAAGGCTGCCACTCTACTCTACTATACTATACTATACTATACTATACTATACTATACTATACTGTACAGTATAGTTCAACATGCTGCTGGAAAACTTGTGTGACCCTTGGCCATGTATAGTTGAGGAAAGTATAGTTCGAACTATACTATACTGAGTATAGTATAGTACAATTTAAGCTGTATTATACCCAACTATACCTATACCAGTATATATAGTGGCAGCCTTTCTGTTGGGTAATTTCTGTAGAGAAGCTGACTTGCGCAAATTGTTTGGAAAACCAATCATCATATCAAATAATTCAAGGATCTAAAATACAAGATGAAACCGTGAGTAATATCCTGATGTTACATTTGAAAACCATTATTGGTAAAACAATACATGATCTGTCAAAAATCATTGTAAATTGAAGGCAGGCATTTCACCATGTAAGTTTTTGTGTAGCACATCAACATGCACAAACAAAATGTGATTGATACAGGTGTTCAAGAGCCTCTGAAGAGATCCACATGATACAAACAAATGATTTGTGTGAAATCAAACACTTGATTATAAATGTGATTCCAGTCTATCATGCCCTCTGGTTGATCTTGATTGGAATCAAAAAAATGTGTGGGGTTCACATATTACAGTGGTTTACAAAGCCCAGATCAATTAATGTGTTCAGGACCAAATCACCATGAAGTCAGACTTGTTGAGATTGTTACATGGCGGCTACTCTGGGAACATCTGCAAAAATATGTTGTAGTGCTTTGTTTGGTTCTCTGGTTATCTGAACCATTTAGCAAGAAGCCCTACATCATGCGCTATGATACATGACTTTTTTTCTTTGTTTTCTGAGAATTTTCCAGTTCTGTGAAATAAAAGTCCTGATGAATCACCATGTGATAGGATCTGATAATGCACATAGTTGGATAAAGGTCACTAGAAACTATCCTGTTCTTATGACTAGACACTAACCTGTGATAGGATTCTAATATATATGATTATAGTGCACACAATTCAATTTGGCAGCTGGCAATCTCAACAAAAGCTAAAGTTCTCTCTTTGATTAACCTTAATAATTGTGGCAGTTGAACCCCAACATTTTACTTCTATGATTGAGAGCTTTGGGCCATGGTGATGAGTGTATGGGTAAGTAAGACATGAAGAAAGTGGGCTAAGTACATACACCGTACATGTAAAAGCCTCTCCTGAACAACTGGTGTTACCTCTTTTAAATGACAAGTGATATTAACTTGCTCAATGACTGTCTGTGAGGTGAGACTTCCGTCCACTTCCTCCCCACGCTTCATATCTTGTCAAACAAAAGAAACACAAGCTTTGTTGCTTGATGCTTGCTTCCACAACACATGGCTGTAAAATGCACCACCCTTCTTCCAGTGATGGGAGGCTGGAGCTGTGAAAAAGAGAATCAAAAATCACCTAGAGTTGAATATGAAGAGTTGATGTATGAACACATTGGTGATAACATTGAGACTTATATAAAAAGAAATTATTATTGATGGGGTTAGTTGAAGAACAGGATTTCTGTATATCAAGGCTGAATTCTTGCAACTTTCTAGTGAAGATCAGTCCTTCCAAGACAGAGAAATTTGAGAGTTTGATGGTAAATGAAATTGCAACATTTTTTTCAACAACAGAATGAGAAATGGCTGTGAAGACTCAAACAAAGGATACAAACGGTCATATATGCCCTTTGTTGCAATCATAGCATAAGAAGCGACTCTACAATTAACATGCTTTCTTCTTTGCCAAAATTACCACATTATGCACAATCACAAAGCTGTTCAATCTATATAGATGCATGTTTCTAGTCCATGGATGCCATACCATAGGATCTCAATCATCTGGACCCAATAAATATCAGCTTGAGAATCTGGTATTCAATATATCTCCTTGTGAATCAAGAAACAACTTTCATGCAATCAGAGGAAGGGCTTTGAGCTTTGTTTAAGTCAGTGGTAAGGAATATGAGTAGACATCTCTAGAGTTACAGTGAAACACCATGGTTCAGTCAACATAAATTTATTAGACAAATAGGGTAGCATGTGAAAAACCTTGGACTATTTAAGGAGATTACATGAAGCAATTGGTGTACAAAGATGGATACTCTAATTCAATAGAGGGCTCATATGACTTTGATGGGAAAGGCTCAAGTAATTGATGCATAACACTTTACAATATAGCCAGTAGTCTATGATTATAGTGAGAACAAGAGAAATAGGCTAATGGGGCTTGCACAAGAAATGGTATTTGAGAAAATAAATAAAAAAGATTGATGTCCATGCAGCTCCAGGCTCTTGAGAGAACAGGATTATGCATGACCCATACAAGTGTTTGTTTTCTGTACCTTGCTGAGCTCACAAATGATGTATGTTGTGGTCTACATAGACCAAATGTGACTTTGGATTTCATGTCCTGGCTGTATGTTTGCAAACCCCAGAGCATACAGGCCCAATTGTGTGTCCTTCATCTAACCCCAACATCAGAGCTGACTTCTGGTGACGCATCTCATTTGGATAATTCAAAAGGCTTGGTTGATCATCAATCAAACAAATTATCTCCTCTAACTTGTCTCTATACATCAGCGGCACAGACAATACTCACTTGAAACGTGCTGACAAATCTGACTGTCACACTGTTGTTATGGTCCTCTATCACGGATCACGGTGGGCTATGTCACAGACTGCAACACTTCACCCAGTGTTGGGTAACTGGAGAGGCACACACCAGTTGTATCCCTTTTCCTCGTGCTACAATAACTATCATATGTGGATCACCTCACTCTCCCTTTGCCCTGACGCGCCAACACCCAGACCCGGGTTCTAACACATTGTTCCAATTCTGATTCATTACAATATCATCTTGAGGTGTTTTGTCTCATGTAACTTTTCTACATGATGAAACTCCAGAGGTTGTGATTGTGGGGACCCAATATGAGGATGTGAATGTTGGACCATCCCCTCACCCTCACACTTGACATTGGATTGGGTTCAGTACACTGAATTGTCTGTATATATGAGGTTTACAAACTGTTCTCACTACAAGCAATGAGATTGCATAAGATTGTGTTCATTGTGATCAATACATCCTTTGGTGGAATGATTTGAGAGGTGGATACATTTTTTGTTGGAAAGATTTAAGATGACACTTCCCTTCATTACCCTATGATGTTTGTGCTGCAATTTGGCCAGAGCGAGGAAGGAACATACCTCATAACTATCTACACGCTGCTGGTGTTTCATCACAGCAGACAAATTCGCATTACTCTTTTGGTAACATAAAGAATTTTATTCCCTTATCTTGTTTGGATTTTGTTTTTTTATCAATTGTCCATCTTTATAGGAAAAGGTGTGTTTTCCTCTTGACCTCATTATTGCTTGGATTATCTGCAAAGATCTCTCTGATACGTTATATATAAGTAGAAACATAAATAGCAAAACATAGTTATCACTCTAACCTTTTCAATACCTAAAACCTCCTTTGACAGACCAAGTCCAACAAGCCCATCACCAACACTTCATCGCAACTCATTAGTATTTTACTATAGAAGCCAGGTCAGTCCTTCAAACAACCATTGCTATTTCATTCGTCAATTGTTGATTTGCTTTGAAAGTGAACAGATCTACCTTATACATTGAAGATGAATCTTGCCAGCTGTTTACTCTATTACTTAATCAGTATGGAACACTTAGTCAATGGAATGCATTTGGCCCATCGCGTACCACCAGCAGACATTGGTGGCACTGGTACTCCAAGTATTGCCTTATCCTCCACAGCGGCTCCAATGAGTGAGGAAAAAATCAATAATGATCGACACCTTGCTGAGAATTTCGAAGTATATCAAAGCAAATATATGCCAGCTTCAGCCCCACAGGGCTTTCAAGACGGTTTTGAATCACTTCCTATTCATAACACGGAGGTGGAGCACAATACTTCTGCCGGTGATGTTTTCAAGGCAATTGGGATAGTCTTTGGTTCCCTTTTTGGTGTTTTTGGTCTTGGTTATGCGGCATGGATATCATTGGGCCCAATTGCTGATTGCCTGGATAAACTGGATGCAGAAAAAAAGATGCGTCAAGTTACTCCAGTCTAATCTCAACCACAATCACTCCTGCCAAAACAAAATTTGATTACACAACTTTACATACATGACTCCCATGGATTAGCATTGTGAAGTCATTTTTGGATCAGAAGGGTGTTTGTGTATGGTGGCTCTAAGGAGGAACCCGGAGAGCTACTGTAGAGGGGCATGAGTCACAAGATTTTATTTTCTTATGTTTGCTGTCAATTGCTGTGTATTCTACAGCCTCTACACCACACCACAAACTCTTCAAACTTGTGTAGGTATGGATTTCAAACCGAAAAAAGTGTTACGCTCCTGGCTGGTCATCCATGAGGCAGGAGCAATGGACTTGATCAAGTTTCTATGACTTTAACCTGTGGTGAAGTGTGTTTAGTGTAGGTCAATATTTTATGTCATGTACCTCAATAAAGGGTCTCCTGGGTCCTCTCCAAGGTGCCACTTGAGTCAAAACCACAAACCATGAAAATTGCCTCTGAAACATCCTCCAAATTCCTTGTGGAGCGTATCACAACCCTTCTCTGCTGCGCTGGCCAACAACTTTTTCATTGTCACTTCCCATGTGTGGCCAGTGTGTGTTCTGACACAGTCTCTCCTAATTGTATACTTTCATTTAGGTGTAAGGGGCTTAAATCACTCGTTTGGATGTAATCTATGAAAAACGAGACTTAAAGAGAAAGGTCTGTAGTGTTAGAGTTTGAGTTCTTTTGAAAAGAATCCTCACCCATTGATCCTTATCTTTTGAACCACCTCCTAACATTTGACTCTCGTCTTGGCCTCCTTCTACTTTTACTTCTTGAACCTCTGCTCTCTTTTTCTCTAGGGCAACTCATTGAGCTCTTGTAACCCTAGTCACGTTTTCTTCAGCTTTTCTTTCCAATAATAATTTTTCCATTTTGTTCTATGCATTCTTGAGTTTTTAAGTTCTAATTGAATAATGCTTCAAAAAAGGATATGATTTGAAAAAACTGAGCAATCAATGAGTCAAGCTTGAAGTTGAAGTGGTCTGTGGGTCAAATCTCGGAGAGTTCCGTGTAAGTAATCTCTCCGAGGATGAATTTCTTATTCATATTCCCTCGCGTACCCGAACCTCGGGTCGGCCTCACAGTCCCGCTCAATCCCCATGGGCTTACGAACCAACGCGTCGGTTCTAGCAACCTCAAACGTCTGATCGATATCTCGTCTTTTGCCACTCAAGTTCTCAATCAATAATCGTCTAATTATCAACGCCAGGTAGAAGCCAGACTCTTTGCATGATGGCCGATACAATCCCATCTATCGGTCTTTGGCTACTTCATCCCGCCTTCACATTGGGTTCTCTTTCGGCTCAGATTAAGCCAATTGCCCAGCAACAATGGGGAAACGCGATGACGATGTGGCTTCCAGCCGTCGCCCTACTTCTTGGCTCTCTTCCATGGCGCATGGTCTCGAGTCGTCTTATCGAAGACTTCGTGACCCTTTCAGATCTCGATACTGTGCACTTTGTGCACATCACGTCGCCTCGATGGAAAAAGCGTCTACTGTTGGTCATGAGCACTACCGCTATTCCACTTTCAGTTGGTGTCCTTGCGTTTCACCTGGTTAAAGACGGAATCCAAGGAGATTCAGTCCCATCGGATGTAGTTGCGCTGATGAGTTGGGTGGGTCTATGTCACCAAGGGTTTCGTGTTGCGTCTATTTGTGCGGCGACTAATTGCGCTCTCACCTGATGGTCGGCCCGATACGCGATGGCCCGCTATGGGATAACCATGTCACAGGCGTACTCATCAATCTATATTGTGCGGAATGATATTACGCGGCCTCCTGGTGGCTTGATGCTGATATGGCTCAGCCGGATTATCGCGGATTTGTCGATTCTTGTGATTGAATGGCTCCGAGGCGTGTCTATGGCCTGGCCATTGCTTGTTACCGCTATCCTGGCTGTCGCTGCGATCTGTGTAGCAGGAACATACCCTCTCGCTCCCGTCTTGCCAGCCAAAAATGTGGCAAAACCTGGATCAGTTCAGTCAGATTCCCAACGTCTTTTTCATCGATCCTCATGATTGAGTTCAGTTCGCATTATTCCAACAGCAACCGACGATGAGCGAGACGTGCCCGGAGGACGCGACCACACTTTGGGGTTGGATGACCTTTGGATTTGTCGAGCCCCTAATTCAATTGGCTGGCAAACGTACCTTGACTGAGGCCGATGTTTGGCAACTTTCACCATTCTTTCAACACCATAACATATTTCAAAAATTCTTGATATCACCCATGTTTGTGATCTCTCTGTACCATCATGCAACGAACTTCTATGTCTCTTATTTTGACGATTGTTCCCCTACAGGACCGGCAAGGAGCCCAAAGGTTGGATCCTTCGGCGACTTGTACGTTGGAATAAGATCGATTTGATGATCGAACTCTTCACCGAGCTTTGGTCCACAGTAGTGAGCTTTGTTGCCACCTACGCTCTCAAGCGTATACTGGACGCTCTTGCAGCGGGTGGTCAAAGAGAGGAGGCAGCGACTTGGGCAGCTGTCCATTTCTTATGTAACCTCAGTTTTGCTCAATTTGACCTTTTCGGGAGGTGGCACAGCCGGTATGTGACGTTTTCCCCTCCGTTTTGACCTTTACATCCGCATCCCCTCTTTCACAATGTGCCTGGTCTTCCAACTTTGCTTTGTCAATCTCAGTGCGTTCCACCTGAAAAGTACCATATTCGTCTTAAATCAAATCTCAAAAGACGCGTGCGAGGTTTCCCGTCTTGTTTGATATGAGCCATGTCCTACGCGCTCCCCAGATTGTGGCTGTCTGTGACTGATGTGAGGCACGCTTGTGTTGCACAATCTAAGCAACTATGTATTGTGGTCGTCACCTAAGTCCTGTTTTTAAGCCTAATGAGCAGCCAGACCCCTATCATGATCACCAACTGGCCAAAACAACAATTATGTTTGCCTAGTGTCTCAAATCCTGTGAGCAGATAGCCTCCACATAGCATATATATCTGGTCCAGGAATCTATCTGATAATCTCATACGCTCTCGCAAGGCCTGTGAAATTTCAGAGTATCGGAAATCGGCACAACGCGCGAGTGTCCTATTTACAGACTATTTTTTTTCTTTTTTCTCGCCACCGAAACACTCTTATCCATCACTTATTGCTACACATCAGCACCGTGGAGACCCTTGTGCTATAATTGCTAATTTCCGCGTTATGTCTCACATCGCTTTTGATGAATAGGCGATGCTACGAACGAACACGTGGTCAACTCTTCAGTATTCTGCATCACAAAGCGCTTCGTCGCAAAGATAAAAGTACACTGGCTAAAGCGATCGCGAACTCGAAGAAGGAGCAAGAGGAAGCGGAGAAGAGCAATGCGAACATCGGAAAGGTCACTTTCATTGTCCTACTTTGCGATATCCTATTTGAGCATTCCTCAATCTTGATGGGTTCGCCACTGTGATATGTACATCATTTGCTATTCACAGATATCAAATCTTATGGGCGGTGACGCATATGTCGTAGCCGAACGTTTTTGGGGGTTTGCGGCTGTAGTCACCTCACCATTGAAGCTGGCTCTATCGCTCATCTTCCTCTACAAGTCAGTCGCCGTTTGACGAGTTGTCGTGTATCTAAAACATCAATTCATTGAGACTTCACCTCAATTCGTGTCTCAGGTTGCTGGGAATTAGTGCGCTGTTAGGCAGCTCTATGGTTGCACTTGCCTACTTATTAAATTGGCCACTGATCAAATTTGATGTGATGGTATGCGAATTTGTCTCCACTTCAGCCAATTTCATTACATGTCTTGACAGATTCTGCTTGCATTCTGGATTGCAGTTTGCTCGGTCGTATTCTACGGCACGCGATAAAAGAATGACTATAGCAAATGAGACCATCCAGTGTAACTCGTGAGATCACTGTATCAATATCTTTACCAAATACCTCTGACATATTCCTTCTCGTGTCCCTGTTCACAGCAATCCGATTCTTAAAGTATATGGGATGGGGTTAATCAAATCAGTTTCTGCTCCAGTAGTCACAATCAGCTGAACCTCGCTGCATTCTTTAGAAAATTTGTGGGCAGGTCGCGTGGAAGAAGCACGTAGACTTGAGCTGAAACTACGAGTCAAACAGATGATACTTTCTACTGTGATCTCTTTCATCTGGATTTGGGTTCCAACAGCGATTCTCTTGGTCTCTTTTTGGTCACTCACGAGCTTCTTCGGTCGACCGCTTACCGTCAGTATTGCGTTTACATCAATCTCGCTATTCTCTCAACTTCAAGGAGCTCTAAGGGCACTTCCGAATCAAATAACATCTTGGCTTAGAGGTATAAGTCCTATATATGGAATGACCCTGGCCGTGTTCAACGTAAAGCTTACCTAAACTTGTATATTTTAGCGTATGTGTCTGTCAAACGTATTGAGGATTTCTTATCAGAGGAAGACGTACCACAATGGGTCTGCGGTATCAACGATCCTGGCCGCGTGGCCATTCCAACTGGCCAGATAAACTTTTGCGATGAAGCTATTTTCGCTTGGTCGAATCAGGCTGATAGTTTCCGGATTGGCCCACTCTCTCTCGAGTTGCCTGTGGGACGCCTCACACTGGTAACTGGACCCACTGGGTCTGGTAAGAGTACATTCCTTGCTGCGATCCTTGGTGGTGCGTCTTACTTCCCTCTTATTGCATTTGTGATGTTTTTCTAGCTGACCATAATCTTTGTCTTATTGCTTTTACCGATTGTAGAAATCGACTGCGTGGAAGGTCGAGTTGAGGTTGAGAAAGCTGGAGGCGCAGTAGCTTACGCATCTCAAAATCCTTGGCTTGAATCCATGACCATTCGAGATAACATTCTCTTCGAAACGACCATGGACACAACTCGTTATGGTCTGTCATAAAATCTAAAAGGTTTGTGTAATTCGGCAACTCATTCATACATGTTGGCTTTTATCTACAGAATCCGTAATAGATGCATGTGCTTTAAGGCAAGATCTAGCCATATTCCCCCACGGAGATCTCACAGGTGAGGAAGCACATCTTGAACAAGTATACCAAACACTTATACATCTAGCCTGTTCACAGAGATTGGTGAGAAGGGCATAAGTCTCTCGGGCGGGCAGAAGGCAAGGTAAGCCTCTGATTGCAACTGATCATCTCCATCTTGAAATATGTTCTTACGCTGCTTTCCCTGCAGGATTGCACTTGCTCGTGCACTCTATTCAAGAGCTAAGGTGAGGCTCATAACTCCCTTAGAGTTTTCATGTCAAGCTCTTATCTTGTTCCGGGCTTTTTAGACTGTTCTTCTTGATGATCCACTCGCTGCTGTGGACATGTTCACCGCGCGCAAGTTAGTCGATGATGGTCTGCGCAGCTCTCTTCTCAAAGATCGCACCGTTGTACGTTGCTGTGATTGCCTATGACATCATCCTTAATCACCACCTTCATGTTGAACTATATCACTGACTACCATCAATTTCGAGAATCAGGTTCTGGTCACCCATCACATTCGGCTATGTCGCTCCGCTGCCGACTTTGTCCTTGAGTTACGCGATGGTAAAGTTGTATATGCCGGCCCTCCCTCGGGGTTCGAGCAATCTTCAGCAGAAGAAGTTGACGATAATGTCTCGGGTGCTCAAGATAGTGAAGAAGTATCAGAAACCGAGACGATAAACACAACCTCTCTGAAAAAAGTAATTACCCCAGAAGGCGAAACTACAGGTGGAAATAACTTGATTGAGCCTGAGAAAAGATCTGAAGGTCGTGTGACAGGTTCGACCTATCGAACGTATTTCCGTGCAGCCGGCTTCAGGTATTGGTTCATGCTGGTCATATTGGTCGTGTATACAAGATTAAGTGGTTTGTAATATCACATTTCCAAGACTTTGTTTATTTCCGTTATCGACTGATCTTTTCTCTCCTCTCGATAGCATTTGCTGTTCAGTGGGCTCTAAAAGTCAGTAGAAATACCCCCGGGACACTAAGTCTTTGGTCTTGCTCTGAGGACTTCCCTTACCGATTTTTTATGTTGACAGACCTGGGGAGAAGCCTATCCACCAAAAGTTATCGCTTCCTTCCATTGGCCCGATATAACATCCGGTTTTCCGAGCCCAGACTTGGATGTACATCCTTGGCTGAACCTATACTTGATAATCAGTCAGTTCATCATTTCATTCTCTGTCTCACCTCAATTCGTTCAACTCACGGTCACCAAAATTTATGATAATTTGCCCTTTTCAGGTATCAACAGTGGATTGGCGATTCTTATCGGTCAGTTCAAAGAAAGCCACCCGATGCTAGTAATTGGGATTACATACCAAAATTTTGCTTGATCACATTAGGGCTATGCGTTGGGAATTTTATTGCGCTTAAGGCGTCTAGAAACCTTTTCTCTGCGATGTTAATCAGAGTTGTAAGGGCACCCACAAGATGGTCAGACATGGACTATGTCTCTTCACATATTACGAGATGTTGAAAACGGCTTGAACTGACCCCAATTCTTGAATCTGAGACAGGTATGACGTCACACCCGTCAGTGAAATTGTTTTCTGATATCCCATTCTCTAGCCCATCAGACTGATGCATTCGATGGGACAGACTGGTCGAATTCTGAATAGGTTTGTTTCAGATATTGATACAGTCGATTTCTCTTTGCAAGGCACAGCAGAGGGTGCGATCAGAGGTCAGCATACAAACCACCATTATTCGATGAAACCCCTAGCTGAGGACCATGATCAATGATGAAAAAAGGGGTCATTGGATTTCTTGTCTCCCTGGGAATTGTAATTTGGGTGGTTCCCAGCTTCACGCCATTGGCGATTGTGATCGCATGGCTTTACATCCGACTTGCACCAGCGTATGTGAAGGTGGCCAGAGATCTCAGGCGACTTGAATCAGTCTCAAGAAGTCCAATGTTTCAAAACTTTTCAAATGTGGGTACTCAATGTTCTATTTTGCTCAATCACTTTTGTAAGAGCTGAACTTTGGAAACGCTCAAAAACAGTTACTGCATGGAATACAATCAATTCGGGCGTATGCTGCAGAGGCCAGATACCAAAATCTATTCTACAAAGCCTGTGACACCTTTCAAAGTGCGTTGAATTGGACTTCATCTTATGATGTTTGCTGCCTGGTGACGCGAAGGAAGATGTGCTTGATATCATTTTCTTCACAGCTATGGATCATCATTATTGGTTGGCCAATTTTTGGCTTATGTGGCGCTATGACTGTGAGTTCGTCCCCTGCAATATAAATCTCAATGCATTTATACGACTCTCAACTATATCGCTTTCCAATGAAATAGGTTTGGGTTCCGTGGTGGTTTTCCTCACAACGATATTCGCACTCGTCTCTGGCGTAGATGAGGGATATGCTGCCATCAGCGTGGTGCAGGCAGAGATGTTCGCGTCCGCAACAAGAGCCTTAGTGTCGGTATTTGCTCAAGTAGAACTAGATTTCAACGGTAAGTGATTCTGATAAAAGTGACATTATTCCGAATAAGCGACCGAGTTGTTTCTTGAGAAGCATTGAGGGATATCTCTCCAAAACTAACTGACTTGGATTTGATTTGAAGCCATCGAACGGGTTACCGAGTATCTAAAAATACCTCAAGAAGCACCTGCAATAATCGAAGAGGCTCGTCCACCGGCTTATTGGCCTTCCGATTCATCTGGACTGATTGTCGAAGGTCTCGTTGTCAGATATGCACCACATCTTCCTGCTGCCCTAAAGGGTCTTTCGTTCAGCATTGCGCCAAACCAGAAAGGTAAGTACAGCGTACCTGCAGTAAAAGTATATCTCTAACATCCTTTGTCGTTGTGCATCACAAAGTGGGAGTGGTAGGTAGAACTGGCTCAGGTGAAACATCATTTCCCTCGTTCTATGTATGACCCAGAGCATGGTTTGATAATAAATGCTATGGTGTTTCTTCACGTCTGATTTCAGGTAAATCCACTTTGGCCATGTCTCTTTTGAGAATCATCGAAGCGGAGAAAGGTCAAATCATCCTGGACGGGATAGATGTGTGTCGAATTGGTTTGGACGACCTTCGTACCCGAATCGTGAGTCGCCGCATCTATCTACCTCTCTGATTCAGGACTGCCACACGTGGGGATCTATGTACTGATCGATATTGGATTTGGTATGCCCACGGTGATTGCGACTATAGACTGTTGTCAGTCAAGATGTGACTTTGTTCGAAGGATCTGTGAGGACCAACTTGGATCCGCTAAATCTCCATAGTGATGAAGAGATGTGGGAAGTGTTAAGGAAATGTAACCTGGCCAGTGTGAGACTAGAAGTTCCGGTGGACGCTGGTCATGATGATGCATTGATAGACAGCTTGGATATGAGATTGAGTGAAGGTGGGAATAGTTTCAGTGCCGGTCAACGTCAGTTGTTGGCATTGGCTCGAGCAATGTTGAGGGAGAGTAAGGTGGTGATCATGGATGAAGCTACTTCTTCGATAGATTTGGTGACGGACAATAAAGTGAGCGTTGGATCTTTTTTTCATCAAAGATTGATGTTCCTCACATGCTTCTCATTCAATACTAATCTGAAAATATTAGATACAATGTACCATTCGGGAATGCATGAAATCATCAATGGTGATCACAATAGCTCATAGACTTCTGACAGTCATAGGTAGGTTATCAAATAATCTCCCACGTGATTATTGAAGAAAAAACATCAGACTAGTATTGACGTCAGTGTATTTTTGTAGATTATGACAAGATTCTCGTCTTAGAAGAAGGAAAGATTGTGGAGTTTGATACGCCAAAAAACCTGTTGGCGAGAAAAGATGGTCACTTCAGAATATTATGTGAGATGAGCGCTGATGCGGATATCTTGTTTGAGAGACCATCTGCGTCTAATCAGGAGGTTTACATTTAGAAAGACATGTGATGCGTCTTGTGCAAGGATTCATAACTAACTTGAGTGCTGATGGGACTTGATTTTTTCACCTTTTGAAAAGTCTGTTGGGGTCTACTCGGTTTACTCAAAATGAAGTGAGGGATGTAGAACCAAGAGATATGATTATAGGCCTTGGATCAAGAGGGCCTGCTAAAAATAGACTTGTATAGATATGACTTCATTGTGTGATTATAGCTACAAGTACATTGAACAGATACAGAAAATAAATTGATCATGTTATATCTAGAATGGCATATGGTTGTAGACTGTCTCAATGCAAACATTTGGTTTTGTTTTGAGGTTGATAGTTGATTTCTTGGGGGTTTGTGTCTTACTGAGGTTTTGTTTTGATCGGGCAACTTTCTCGCTGGTAAAGCCCTGGCTACTGTTAGAAAATATCCAATGAATTACTGGATGGTGAGAATAGATTGTGTGGCTGCAAGACAAACCAGTGTGAGTGTCTCTTGTATGAGAGTGAGTAAATGTAGTGGGGGAAAAGATTGCACCTGTGCGTGATCATGAGGGAAATGTTTGGGTTCATGATTGCTTACTGAAGAGGCACCCAATATACCCTTGCTGAGCACATTTGATGGCCAAGGAGTGGGGATTTGACCTGGCGCAGTTGGCAAAGGTACTAAAATCAGGGCTGAAGAAGCATTCAATTCAGAACATGCAGCTCTAGAGCATTAACACACCTGGGGTGTGGACCTGGTAGGACAAATTGATACCTCAAGTAGTTTGGGTCTTGTGCTTATAATCTCAAAGGACCCTTGCCTGTATCTTAATGGGCTGGGTGATCAATTGGCTGACCTTTTAAAAATCATCCTTCAGGTCATTTTTGTCCCAATGTCACTTCAACACATGGGATCCGTTGTGGCCAGTCAATTAGCTTTGGAAGGAACTTCACCTACGCACAGCTAATTAGAAAGCTGGTTGGTGAAAGAATTGAAGTCCTTCAAATCTCAGAGTTAGCATTGTAATTCTTTGATCTCAGATTCTACACATCTTTCTCCTTTTTGGTACTAAATCATAAAACTAAAGGCACAACCATGTTTCTTGGCAAAACAGAATTAAACCCCTTAAGCCTCCATATGTCCCCATAAGCCCCTAATTTTCAACATCCTTCCTCCTACTTGATACCTCAAGCCTCACAATCATTGCCCAATTGCACATCATTCTTGACTGTCTGACCATTGTAAGGGTATTACAGTATGGGATTACAGAGGTACATTATCTATATACACCAGAACCCTGGCTCCACGTTGGGTTTCTTTCTCTTCACAAACCCCGACTGGAGTCAGGTATGAGAAAGCTTTCATCTCAATTCTCTTTCATTTCATTATCTTGTGTTAGAGTTGTTCTGATCTCTTGGGTTCTCTTCACAAACCCCGACTGGAGTTAGCTAGGGAAATTTGTAATATAACAGAGTTCTAGATAACTTCCAGTGGTTGTGCCCCCATGAGAACTGAGTCGATACCCCCAGTGAAGGTTTCTGTAGTGAACCTTACAACCATTTAGTGCCCTTCAACCCTGCAAGCAAGATCAATGCATCAGATAATTCACAAAATAACTGTGTGCTGTGCTTCAACATTTGGAATGATGAGTTAAAAAATCTCATCTGCCAAGCTTTAATGTGATACAACATTAATGTGGACAGAATTCATGGCAACAATTGCTGCCACCTCAATCCCTGGAATTGCTGAATTTGTCCGTGGTTACAACAATGCAAGAAGCAAACTCTCCATGTCAACACCCCCCCGTTCATGTGTGTAGATTCCCTCCTTGTTATTGTTGGTTCCCACTCTTTCATGTTTGATCCCAAGCTGGTAATAGGTAAGTAATTTCTGGATAAGCTTCCATTCATTATTTACCGCCCTATCTTGTGATCTAGAGTTTTGCATTGCCGCTTTGGTGGTTGTGTTGTTGGTCCACACGGTGAAACACCTACCACGTGTTTTGGCTACCTTGGCCAGCATTAGAATCCCTATATGGACTGCCATGGTCTCTACCCACACAATATTTCTTCTCACGCCTTTCCCATCTACCTTGTTCCATTCACCTAGTAACCTAAAATGTCCCCAGTGTTCACCAATTTTTACACCAACTCTGTATGTTGTTGAGGCGTCTCTATCCCAATCGATGTTGACTGCCTCTGCTGTCAGGATTATCCTCATATTTTCACATGTTGTCAGGACACTTGTCCACTCCTTGAGATCATCTTGCACCGTGTTTGATATCCCCCGCTTGGCACTAGGGTTCCTCCATGGTTCCTTCCAAGCGTACAGCTCTTTCATGTAGCATTTCATATCTGGCATGATATAAGTCAGATGGCCTAGTCTACCAACACACTTGTCTACTCTATCTTTCTTCAATTTTTCTCCTACCAGTAAGTCTTTTACGCTCTGTATCCTCTCTTGAAGTTTCTCTTCTGGCATCCTAACTGTCTTGTTGTGCCTGTTCCAGATGAAACCCAGGTACTTTTGTTCCTTGGCAAAATCGGAAAACTTGGTGTGGTTCGCTTTCACACCCATCTCAGCACTCAACTCCAGTACCAATTCCATCCTGATGTTGCTTCCTTCTTCCCTCCAAATTAGGTTGTTGTCCACCCATTAAAAGATTTTTGGGATTTTAAGTGCTTTAACCATTATCTCTTTCCAGACATTGGCAGCTCTCCCAAACGTCCCACAGCCTACGACACCTCCAAATCCCACTCAAGTATCTACCCACAGTAAACCCTTGAAGTCTAGAATCAACTGGAATCTCCATTGGGAGGGGTGTGTAGGTATTTGCCTATACGCTTGCTCCCAACCAAAAATTTGCAGTTCCCATCTCACATTGCTCTTTCTCAGGAAATTTGCCAACTTGTTGAAATCATCCCATGCAGGCTCAAATTCTGTTTTGTCCACATATGATTTTTCATTAGCTATTGAGTCATCTCCTTTTGGTTCTGATAAGTTGTTAATCATGCTTATACTCCTGTTGTTGTTCACTAAACTCCCCATGGGATTTGACTCTGAAGAACCCATAGTGTTCTCTAACTTCCTGGTGATTGAAATTTCTGATCATTTTCTTTTCATTCTTCTCTTTCTTTATATTCTTTTCTATTTTCTCCCTCGCCAGGTTTGATGATTCTTTACTCTCCAGTGTGTACCACAGCCAGTCTCATATTGAGTGGTCTGGTATCATGTATGCCTTGGTGGAAACCTCTCTCCAGGATATTGATCATGTCCCCCCGTTCATCCATGAGGTTGAATTCTGCCATCAATGCTTTCCACATTGGGGTGTTGAGCTTGCACACCACCTCTTTTAGCCACCGTGGATCTTGCTCAAGTCTTGCAAACATTTCATTGTTTGCTCACAAGACTCTTTGGGCTTTCCTAGAAGGAGGTGGGAGACTTAGGGGGGCTGGGGGACAGAATTTCATGAGGTGTTACACAACAGGGGTAGGGGAGGGCAGGACGGGTTCCGGGCACTAGGGTCAGTCTCACTTTGTCAAACCACTTCATTTGATGCATTTCATAGGTTCCTTTGGGCACATCTTGGTATGTAGACCTTCCCATTCTCCCTTCAAAGCTAAGTGCTACTAACTTCTTCTGCCCTCTGTCCCCATACCCATTGTCTCTGCCTCCTTGCTGATTTTTATTTCCTGTCCCTCCATTCCCCCATGAACTCCCGCTTGCCACCGGGTAACTTCCCCCTCCTCCACTATTTGCAGCTTCCATTACCTTCCTCTTGTTGAAGTTCCTATCAAAGTGCCTCCCCCAATACAGATTCCCCAGTTGGGTATTAGCCGAGCTCATTGCCGCCGGACCGGTTGGTATTGCCAACATGAAAGCTGACACTGCTGGTAACAGGTGGGATTTGTGTCTCGACTGAGCTCATAGAGTTGATCTCACTGACTGTGTGTTTCAATTGGCCTCAACTTTTTTGCCTCTCCCCTAGATGGGTCATGCCATGATCCCTTCCGACCTTTACGGTTTGTACTGTCTACCGGATTGATCATGGCCTTGACTGCTCCAAAGGTGTAAGGGTTGATGAGGTAAGTGTTGTTGTTCCATCTCAATTTCTCTTGTTCCCACCAATATCTGACATCTTCTCTTCAGGTCCAACCTTAAATGACATATACGCCTGTCTCATCTTGATGTTGTAGCGGAAGGTCACCATCCAGCAGTCTTTGTCATCTCTCTGGATTTCTAGGATGTTTGCAAAATGCCTTTTCATTTCTTCTGCTACCTTGTCTTGCTTGTAGTAGATAAGGTACTCCAAGAAAAGGTCTTTCTGGCAATGCCACTGCACAACTGTTGTGCACCACTTGCTTGGTACTGGGGAACCATTGTGGGACAAAGCGTCAGTGTCTTTTGTTTTTGCCCGGGATGATTTTGTTGACACCATGCTCAAGTCTTGCCTAAGCCACATGGGGTCAAAAATAGATAGAGGGATGTATCGGTTCAGGTTGCACATTAACAATGCCCAGTATCTTGGGAGGGGTGTGAGGGTGCGAGTGAGGGGTTTTCCAGATTTGACTTTAACTTTCTTTTTCAATTTTGTCTCTCCAAATGTGCTAACTGTTACTTCCTTCACTTCCCCTTTCCATTCTCTTTTCTCTTCTGCCAATGCCTTGTAGGTTTTGCAATCACAGCAGTCCCAGGCTGCCTCAATGACCATGTCCATTTTCCAAATCATCCTTTTGGCAGCCATCAATCCAACTGGTTCTGTATGCTGACAACCCACCAAATCAGTAGGTGAATCACTGATTTCATCTCCAAGGAGGCATTCCTTGCAGAGAATCACTGATTTCAATTCCTTTTCCCTTTTTATGACCAGTCTTCTCAGAGTGGCATTTCCAATCAAAGAAGGATAGAATCTCTGTCAAACAAGACTTGGAGGCTTACCATTGGACTCCACTGGGGTTTCTTCTAGTACTACACCCCCATCACTCTATTGTTCCTCTTTGTGAATACTTCTTGTTCATCTCCCTT